CATTTTCAAAGTCCAAAAAAATAAATGATAAAAAAAAATTATATATATTATATATAATATTTACAAATCCTGGTTCCCGTTGTAACAGGTGTACCGTTACAGCCCTAATATCCCTTCTTATATACACGAACATGCACTTAACCACCAGCATCAGAAGATCAGATGCAATGTTTTCTTCTCACTTATTCTCAATATAAAAATCTGAAAACTAAACTACATTTGAAAAATACATGCTACACTGTAGTATTTTGTTGTTGCTGTTGTGGTATTCTTAGCACTTATTGCACTTTTGTTCTTGGACTTTATTCCCATGCATAAGTGACTCCAGATACTTCAGAAATGCAAAAAAACAAAAACGGTTTAATCGGCATGTCAAATCCCACAATATTTTCCTGTCATCCCATAAAATCTTACCTCAAATGGTTACCACAATCCAAACAAAAGTAGGAAAGAAAATTGAAAAAAGAGGAAAATTATGAATAAAGGAGACAAATTCATGCTAATTCATAGTGCTGTGAAGTAGAGGTAGAAACCAGGCTCGTACGAGCCGGAGAAATTAGAGATAGATCAAATAAAAATAGATGCGAAAATAGAGCAAAATAGTGAGCTAGATAAAAAAGAAATACAGATGACACTGTTTGTACAACGGCAGATTTGTACTCCAGTGTTCGATCTACGGAAGAAAGATGAACGTTCTTCCAGTCAAAGACTAACAATTGATGTGTTCGCCTGGAAGATGTGCAGATACAGAGTTTTCTCAGATCCCTAAAGCTAAATGGCAACTGTTTTCACTGATACTTTTTAAAATCAGGTCTTTGACACTTAGCCAAGAAAAACATACCTGAGAAGTTTCTTGTGACTAGCAAAGTGGTCAATATGGCTCCCTGCGGGGAAGGACAGAATACAGAAGGAAGGAAGGAAGGGAAAGGAGAAAGGAAGCAATGAAGGAAGTAAGGTTTCAGCATGAAAGTAGAGCAAAGCATAAGAGCAACTTAAAAAAAGTCTGAGAGGACAAAAATTGTCATCGTGAGATTTTCCGTGTGGAGAAGATTCAAAGACAGGGGGCAGTGTGAGACGTGGCTGGATGGATTGTGGTGCATAAATAGAAACATGAAGGACTGCCAGAAGTCTCACCTTGAGTTTCCTCCTGGCGTTGAATTTCTTCAGACACTCGACCGTCTCCTGCCTGTGCATCATGGAGGCTACGGTGGATCGTTGCTGCAAGAGGAAAACGTCAGAGGTGTTAAATCTGGCATCAGCATTTCTGTGATTTTGTTAGCTGTTAGTTGCACGTACGCAGATCCAAGGGTGTTTGAGGGCCTCTGTGGCAGTGATGCGTTTACTGGGGTTGATGGTTAACATCTTGTTGATCAGATCCTTGGCCTCAGGAGTTACAGTGTCCCACTCTGGGGATGGGAACTGTCACAAAACATCACTTTGTCAGATCAAAACAGGAGATGCAAATATTAAAAGTATCCTGCTGCTGGTTAATTTACTGTATATAAATACTCACATCATAGGCTCCAGCCTTGATCTGTTGATAGAGGCGATGTTGGTCCTCATCCCAGAAGGGAGGGTAGCCCACCAGCAAGATGTATAAAATTACACCTGAAAACGAGTGACGGGTCAAGGAACGCATCATCACAATATATAACATATAGGACAGGGCTTAAATATACAGCAAAATAAGAAACAAAAGTAACGATGTATGTCAACTCAAGCCGAAGATTTTCTTCTTCACAAACCAGCACCGACTTTGCCAGTCTATACTTTAAAGGTTCTTTTGAAGAGCGGCTCTGAGTGAATGTGAATATTTACCACAGGCCCACATGTCAACTGCTTTTCCATATGGGTCTTTCCTCAAAACCTCTGGCGACAGGTAGCCTGGAGTGCCAGCAAAACCTGGAGAAAATAAAGAGGGTAGATGTGGAGTATGAGGGGGCAGAAAGGTCATGGGTCAGACCTGGACTAAGAGTGTGCTCCCGGTAGTCATGTTTGGTTTGAATAAAATGAACCCTGGAGTAAACTTTCTATTAATGGAGGTGAACTTGAACCTTGGTATGCACCAAAGTGAGACAGGTAAAAGACATTCAAGAGGAAAGTTACTTTTCTCCCTCCTCTGTCTGTCTCCCCGTTGTCTTTGCAGACAGCAGACGAAAAACATCGAGTCTGGACCTGCTTTCAGTTTTTTCTCCCCGATGTTGCCAAAATTCCTGCTTGGCGTCTGAATTAATCTAGTTTAGAATTTCAATAGTATTATACTAGTATAGTATAATAGTATTCAGGTATACAGAGTTTTTTCATGAGGATAATTTCAATTTTAATTCTATTGTTAAAACTGTGAACGCCATTGTTTTGTGAATTTGGAGAATACAAATAAAATTGACTTGAATTGTCAATTTGGAATGTTTAATTTAGTCAAACTATCAATCAAATCAAACTATAAGTGCAGAATCTGTATTTTTTTCTTTCCTCAATTGTCTGATTGTTTGATGTTAAAAAAAATAAAAAGATAAATGGATGGATGAATACTCACCGAACCATGCCTGCTGGTCCCCCTGCACCTCGATAGCAAGCCCAAAGTCAGCCAACTTGACCGCCGCCCCCTTCAGCTTACTGGCCAATAGAAGGTTCTCAGGCTGGGGGGGGCGGAGTCAAACAGGTTAGAGGTGAAATGTCACACACTCTGGGGACAAGCTGCCCACAGACACAGATCTAAAACCAGATTAGCCAAACCCAATCCTAATCCACACCATTAGGGGTCAATGATGCTAAACTGCTCTTAAATCAGTGTCTGAGGTCAACTCCCTTTCTGTCACAGCCATGACAGAGAAACAGAAATGTGCACGGGACCAAACATCCACCAGGCCAAAGACCTTCCATGCAGACTTGCTCCCAGGGTGTCATGGATGGTACGAAAGTGGATTAGGAGCAGAAGTGATGTGAAGCACCACAGTGACACCAATCCACAGTTCAACATCATCCATGAGTGGGGGCAAAGTGACTGCATGGAAAAGGGGGGGGGCGCTGAAACAGGACAGAGTGACTGTTTCACATGTTGACAACAACAAAGTTTAACACAGCCATAAAACTAGGTGAGCCTCCAGCAAGCACATTTAGCACACACCACATCCAACACACACAGACACAAAACACACGCTGCTGTTGGTGCCGAAAGGTCTTCGCTGACCCGAGGTCAGTCAGACGGCAAACTCTAATGAATAAAACATTTCCTAACATTTAGACACCGGGAACGCAGGCAGACTAAGCGCAGCCAGTTTTTGGCAGACCTATGGCTCAATAGGACCCAGACACTATCTGACGACTGGACTCATCTGAATAATTTACATAATGATGAATAAATCCTCCTTATTACAGCAAACTTCTAATGACTACAGCACATAACGTCTAGGCCCGGAAAACACAGTTGCATCGCCATCCATTTTAACAAAACAAGAACTTGTGCATTCATGACCCTGAGTAAAATATTTTAACATTTCAACTGCTTACGTACGTATGCAAATGGTCCAACATGACTAATCCTCGTTCACTGTGTTGCACCTTTACCTGCAACTACATTATTCCACACGCCTATTAAAGATATGGTGTTTGACACAGATTTACATTCAGAGGTAATAACAGCCAATCATGTGCCTCCATCTTCATCTAACCTACACCTCCTCATCCTCCTCTTCCTCCTGCCTGGAAGCTCAATATTCAACACACTTTTCAACTCTGTCAACTGTAGCTTAGCCATAAGATCTTCTAGACAGTGTCACTGTCTGTACACCATACGTCATAGCAGGTCTCACTGCCACCTTGTGAATCTTGAGTCTCAGGTACACTTATCTTGTGGTCATTCGATCAACTTCATCTCATCCTCACCATCATCTTCTTAGATTTTTGTTGTTGACTTTAAGTTCATCCACCTTCACTGCCTCTACTTTTCACCTGTCCCATTTCCATCCAGCCTACCCTATCTTTAGCAAAGGTCAAGGTCAGGAAAATAGCACAAAAAATAAAAGTTGGATTTTTTTTTTTTGCACACAATAAGAAAATAACTCATCTGGGACAACAAAAGGATGGAAGACAAGGGGGGACAGAGCTGGACCCACGGAGGTGGTGATACAAACCTTAAGATCCCTGTGCACGATCCCATTAACATGGCAGTGATGGACACTCTCCAGGATCTGCTGTATGCAGTGGCTGAGGGCATGAGGGTAATGAATGAGAACAGGATACAGATGGAACAGATGGCAGGAGAGATAAGAGAGCAGAAGAAGGGCAGAGGAAAGGAGAGGAGAGGACAGGAGAGGAAGGAAGGGAAGAGGAGAGGAGAGGAGAGGAAGGAAGGGAATAGAAGAGGAGGGGAGAGGAGAGGAGAGGAGGGGAGAGGAAAGGAGAGGAGAGGAGAGGAGAGGAGAGGAAGGAAGGGAATAGGAGAGGACAGGAGAGGAAGGAAGAGGAGAGGAGAGGAGAGGAGAGGAGAGGAGGGGAGAGAAGAGGCATCCATCTCATTAAGTTTCACATTTGACTAATGCTGTTTTCCTTGTTTCTGTCACATCATGGCAACCCATGTTCCCTGTATATGATATATTACACTGTAGAGACACAGCAACGCTCTATATAGTCTGTTGCTAGAACACCTACACACACACACACACACACACTTACACAGACACAGGCACACACACTCGAATACAGCTACAGAGAACTACATACCACAAACTAAATGTTGTTGCCCAGGTTTTCATTTCTTTAAAAACTTTTGACAATGTCAACTTCAACTTTTTATCTAGATCCTGGCTCTTAACTGAGAAATTAGGCTGTAATAAAACCAAAAGCTACAGTCCTTATATGGGCAACTGGTCCTGACAAGAACAAGAACAAGAGATACATACATACACACACGCACGCTCGTGCGCACACACACACTTACATCTAATGGTGTAACAGAGTCAGTGTGTGATTAATGCCAGAGACTACATGTCGTTAATCACTTTTATAAATAACCAGGAGACGTCCAGGAGACAAGGCAGCTGCATCACACCTCTGAGAAGACCATATGTGAATTACATAAATATATACACACATAGTGTGTATGTGGGTGCCCACAGTTGTTCTCTCCAGCAGGAGACAGAGATGCATCCTAGCTGCTGTGCTCAGCAGAGTCGGTGGGAACATGTTACCTGGCATCAGCCTCGCTGTAGTACTCCCTGGCTACGATGTCCTCAAAAAGCTCTCCTCCTGTCACTCTGTGGAGAAGTCACATCAGCATCTGTTCTTTACCGTTCATGATTTTTACCCCAGCAAAGAGCAGCTTTGGGGACACGTAGTATTTGTTACTGTTTGAGTTACAATTATTTGGAAAACCTGTTATTTTCTAGCACAATTAAAAACACAAAGTTTTACATGGAAAAACAGGAAATGTGCTGTGACAGTGGGAGGAGATATCTCTGACTCACAGATCAAACACCAGATAGTGGAAACCCTCTTCTGATATGCTGTCATGGAGTCGAACTGTAGGAGAGACGCAGCAAAAAAAAACAGTTCAGGTGAGAAAGAGAGGAGTGGAAAAAAGTGAAAATTTAAAATTCACTTTTTCAAGTCATGTTTCTTTATTAATATCAGTAAATTCTACTAAAACATGATTTAAATGTGTGATATGACTTTTTTTCACAGTCAGGAATGAAAGCTTTTAGAGTCAATATAAATAACAGTTCATTGTTTTAGTGTTTTACAAACAAAGACCTATCCTAAAAATGTTGCTTGTCAGTATGTGTGTGTCAAGAATGATCACATTTCAACATTCATTTGTGATATTGATTTAGAGTTATTTTTGTGCATACAACACAAAGAATGAGTTCTAATGGTGTCTGTGAGCAGCTCTGAACCAGAGGGACAGAGAGGCTCTGGTGTCTTTGTGATGACACAGCTAAGAGCACACAGATACATCATCATTAGATACTGCGCACACACGCACGCACACACACACACACACTCGTGCTTTCATAACTGTATCCAGAAGATAAATGGCCGCAGCAGAAATCACCAGAGACCTGAACAAAATATTGTTTTCATCTTTATCAGTGTTCTTGTGCGTGCATGTTTCCAGGCCGAAGCCTCGCCGCTCACCAATGTTAGGGTGCTTCAGTAGACGACAGATCCTCGCCTCTCTCTCCAGTTTCTGATGATCTAAGAAAAAAAAGTACAGAGAAGGATTATTTTGATATCCTCCGTTAGTCCCTGCTACATTCATCTTCTTACATAAAACACCCTGTCATCGTTGGGTTTGTCTTAGATTACAACACAAACCACTGTTTTTTATACTTTAGACCTTAGTCACACTGTGTGTGTCTTTGGATGAGTTGACAAAAACAATGTCTGTTCAGTGTTTGGTTTTCCACCACTCAATAGTGAACAGCTGCCACAGCTGGCACTTATCAATATCAATATTCACTTCTGCTTCTGCTACAAAAAAAAGTTTTTGTTTATTTTGTCCAACACAAATAAGAAGTATAAATATAAATAAAAAATACATATAAATAAATAATAATAATAATAATAAATAATACCATTATGTTTCCTAGTTTTCTGTCACAAAGGATCAAAGACGTGACAGAAACATGTTGACATACCAACGGACAAAATCTAATAATACTAATTAATTGTAATAATATAATTACTGATTAAATGGAAAATGGATACTGGAAGTCATTTGACTTGTTGTTGCCATAATATGTTTGTTGTTCAGATTACAGTACACAATTCAAATGATGTTGTATATATTACACATTACATCAATAGGATCTCTTTGTTTATCATTGATTGTCATTAAATGATCATAACTGACAATGGGACATTGAACTATGCAAGATTAAAACAGAAGTCCGTTTAATAATGACCTTCAACAATTCTCTGTTCAATTGGTTTTTCTTTCCACTCATATACCTGAACATTTCATCAGTTTGGAAAATAAAATTCATTATTTGTAGTCTTTTATTTTAATGCATGGCTGCCTCACACACCTGTCCCCTGGGTGACCAGACTGATTGTGTGTGTGATGCCAACAAACCCAGTCTCCCATCAGGGAGAAGTCCCGTGACTGCGGCTTGAAACCGATGAGTCATAGTAGCAGTAAATTTGACGAGTGATGCAGCGTAGTATCAGTCGGTGAGTTTCACCTGAGCAAGTTGGTCCTTGCATTTCACTTAAAAGTATGAAAAAATATACATTTATTAGCACTGTCATTGGATTAATTCATGGAATGATTAATTAATAATATGGACAAATGTCATGAAAAATAGTTTTAGTCATTACTCCAGCGTCTTGATGTGTGGAGAGTTACTATTTTGAGTCAGCGGTAGATTTATTTACTGAGATCACTTTGGTGAACTATTGTGGATGTTTTCATATCCAGGTCGTTTCATTTCTAGTACATTAAAACCATGATTCAACAAGTGCAAAACAAAGACTCACTTTGGTTCAGACTGATTTAACTTGATGAATCTAAAGAAGTAGTTCATTTTCAGAACATTTTTTTTAAAATTTGAGTTTTTAAGTTTGAAGTTAATCAAATTATTTTAAACATTTCATGAGAAAAAAAAAGTTTGTCCAGATACAAACATAGAGAAGAAGCTTGTCCGGAGGTTGGTTGTTTCAACGCAACTACAAATGGTCTGCCATCGAGTCCCACCCGACCCCCTCCCCAACACCAGCACCTCTGTATCACCCCACCCCTTCCCTCTTCCACAGGTAGTCCACCTCACAACTGACTGGACATCTGTTGTCTAGCAACTCCTGCACCAATCAGAGTGTCAGGTCTCTCCTCTCCTCTGCAGTGGAACCAGCCTTGCATGCAAATAGCCGACATCGAGAATCCACACGCAACTGTCAAAACTCTACAGAACTACAGAGAGACAGGAAAGCCTGAGTAACTACTCTGAAGGACACATGTACTTTAGGAGTGAAGAAAGGACAGGAACACAATAAAACGTACAGCAAAACTTACCTAAACCTAGAGCTTCTTTAACTTAGATCTATCTGTTCATATATCAGCCATTAGATTAGATGCAACTCTACTTTACCTTATGCATTGCTTAAATTTCACTATGGATTATATGTTCTTTTATAATCCATTCTGTGACATAAAATAAGTTTAATAAATTGAAAATTCTGACAAGATGCCATAAAATGAGACTGTATTAATTTATTACAATATTTAATAGATTAATCACAGTTACTTTGCCATGAATAAATGCATTTCTACTGGATATACCACACTGTGTTGTGTTATTTTTAACCACCTTCAGTACGAGGCCACTATCACAAAATATCTGCCAGGTGCAAGTAAAGGAGTGGCTGTGTGAATACGGCTCCTAACAGAGCAGATTCCCTTTTTAATAGACAGAAAGATTGCATTTGACACCTTGGCCCAGACACTCCGTCGCAGTCAACTGTCTGACTCTCCAAAAAGTCATGAGAAAGGGAACAATGAGTTGTGACAGGCTGATAAAAATGCTCCAGAACACTTGGATGTCTCTGTGTAAAACTAGTGACAGGCACCTCCCTCCCTGACAGCAGCTGTCAAGTGCACATCTGAACAAAATCACATTACAGCAACTTCACCCAGCACAGATACTCTCTGTTTCTACATGTGCAATGTGAAGCCTATGTGATTGTTTCTACATGTGCAATGTGAAGCCTACAGTATGTGATTGTGTTCAGAGAAATATGACACAACAAATCTGCAAACTTTTTGGTTCCAGGCTGTGATCGGGGCCTCGATGATGTCATCTGAGCCGTATTTAAAGATGCCCATTCATCTCATTTTATTAAACTGATGACAGTAAATATGCTGCCAGACAGAACTCCCTGCCTCTGTGATCCACAGTGCTCCTCTACAACACAGTCTCTCTCAGCAGTGTGATGTGTTGCTGCCTTACCCTGATGTTGTCGATATAAAGTATGTTCAGTTTAGAATAGTGAGTATATTTTCATGTTTTCAGTGATTTTTTTTAGTTAGCTCACTTTAACCTGGTCATTTGAACAGTAGCTCCTGAGCCAAAACAGGTCTGGACACCCCCGAGTTAATCCATTGACAATAAAATATATGAATGGTAGGAATCCTAACTCTAACAAACAAACCCAGTTCCCCGGCCAACTCCACTGCAGCAGTGTTTAAATGAGGGGCTTGTTCAATTCAGTGCTGAGGATTAAACGTGACATCCTCAGTAGTCAGCAGCTATGTCGTCCTGCTTCAAAGGTTTTCCTGTTACCCCTCACCTGGGGGCTACTGTGGTCACCAAGAGATTAAAAGACTTCTGGGAATGCTAACATCCTAGGCTTTTTCCTCTTATAAACGAAATGTCAGTGGTGATCAAACTGTCCTCAGTTCATTATTGTTTTGACTTTCATTACTGGGAAATCTCCCTGTTTCATTCAGTGTAATTCAAACACTGACTGGGGATTTGGGGGGAGTAGATTTTTATAAAATAAACCTTTTTTTTTGGTATTCAGTTCAATATGTCTCCATGCTTTATCCATTATAATATGGTGTAATTACTGGTGCTGGTATATGCTATCACAACAGCACCCTACAAACCCTGGCAAAACATTAACACCAGCACCAAACTCACAAAATGCCATAAAACTGTGGTTCAGATTTTTGTTTGACACGAGACAAGAATGTTTGTCTCTACATGTGTACTAGTGAAAGCCTCCTGTCTGATTATACCCTACTGCCCTGAAAAGAGGTCCTAACAACTCACTTCACCTGTAATCTCGACCAGAATCAGTAGAAAGTAGGCGGAGAAACAAACCTGTAATTTCTCTGGCTGCACTGCAGTCATGAAGGCTGGGGTTTGAGTAAAATTCTTGTAAATGGATTTTAGGATGTGTTCATGACATGTGAACTGGGGCCTGTACTTAGAGCTGGTCACGTACTGTCAGTCAACTCTTGGTTGTAACAATGGAGGGGAGGGGTGGGGGGACTTAAATCCTATCATTGATGTGGCGAATACTGATGGGAAAACACGCTGCGTAGACTGTTCAATCACGAGCCTCTGGAGAATGGATGTACTTTAGCTTCAAAAGCCTCTGTTTTGAGAGCAGGTCTTTACAGCTACACTGCATATACTGCAGTTTTCCCACTTCTGCCAACACTTCAGTCCAGAAGAAATTCCAACATCTGAGCCAAATGAACACCATAGACGAAGAACTTGTCTTGATGTTTTATAAATGGAAGAAAAATGAGAGTTATAATTCTCTTGCCTAGTGTGGAGTCAAATCAAATGCCAGACGTTAGTTTAACTGTTCTTAGGTTAAATAACTATTATATATATTATAGGAATATCTTTAGTAACTGAACTAAAAATTAGATCATTTCAAATGTTTATATAATACTAAGTAAGACAGCCTCACAACCTGTGCCTTGATTTACACATCAGGCTAATTTTCTTAATTACCAAAATGTCAGATGTTTTAACTTTGAAAGGAAAGCAATAGTAGAGGAGAGAACAGATAAAACTATGGTTGAGTGGACAATAATATAAGTTCAATACAATATAAGTGAAAAAAACAAGGTCAAATGCCTTTTCAATAAATAAAGAATGTCTTCACAGATGAAAAAATATTTCAAATTTCTAACATATGAAGAACGAAAAGGTAGTCTGTTAAAAAATGTAATCTTTTTTTTTTTTTACTGAAAATTTGCACCATCTACGCAGACAGACAAAACACCTCAGCAACAGTTTCAGACAAACTAATGCGTTTTGTCTTCCTGCAGTCTGGTTGGCCAGACAGGTGAGCATCGATCGAAACCAAAAACCTACTGGAACATTCTCAGAACTCTCTCTCTCTCTCTGTCTGTCTGTCTGTCTGTCTCTCCCTCTCTCTCTCTCTCTCTCTGCATTTGTGTGTGTGTGGCTGTGAGAATGATAGTGAGGCAGTGAGAGACACAGACACCAAGAGTGAGAGAATGGCCAGGATCTATTTTTAGCTTTAGTACCCTGTGAGTCATGTGATCCCCCTCCTTCCAGCTGATCCCTCCTTCCCTCCTTCCTAATGTCTCCCTCTCCTGCTCCATCTTTGTCCCACCTGCATTAATATTGCCTTTCTTTCCCCGTTACTGCTCCTGAGTGAGGTTCAACGCTCTCTTCACTTATTGAACATACGCAAAGAAGTAGTAAGATGCAAAAAAATAAATAAAATAGTCAAGCATGTGCATTTACAATCCTAATTTGAATGTATGTGTCATATCACAGTTGCCGTCTCATCTCAGGTATAAATAGGTGTAACATGAAGGCCAAAAACAACAGCAAAATCACCTGATTGTTAACACAAGAAACCCACAAGGCAACAAGTGCCCACCACCGACACCCAGTGACAGTGCCGTCCTACAGTAGGGGCAGATAAGAGATTGTATTAGCCACACAAGTGCATGTAAACTGGCGCGCACATACACAGCACGTCAGCAGAGAAAAACAAAGTGTCAAAAGATGGTAGAGATATTGTGACAGAGCACTGACGGATGCACAAAGACAACAAATAATCAACTGCTATGTGCAGTATGCAGCACACGCTCATTGACACGCACACACACACACACATACTGAGATGTTAACACTGTGCACCCTCTCCCTTTCACATTCTGCTCTCTCTCTCTCTCTCTCTCTCTCTTTTCCCTCTTTCATTCCTTCACTTCCTCTCATTGACTGACTCATCTACTGCTCCTAATGAAATGCTGCATAATCAGGATTGCAGATTGTAAGACTGTGCGACTCTTGCTCTCTCTCCAATGCACACACACACACACACACACAAAACATACACACAGCACTGTGATCTCTGCGCATTCCAGCAACCAATCCGGCTCTAAACCCCTTACAATTATATATATATACTGTGACACACACATGAACTTGCACGGCCGCGCACACATGCACCGCGTTGTAACTGAGTGGGGGTGGGGTCATGATCCTGCCAGAGAGCAGGAAATCAGAGTTGCAATTCAGGGGCTTATCGCTGAAAGAGCACAGGACAAACAACTGACACGGTAGTAAACGTCACACACTGAGGAAGTAACATAGGAAAGAAAAACAGCATGTTGGAGGCCTTGATTTTTTTTTAATTATCTTTTTATGTGTAATAATGAAGACATTTTTAGTGTGTGTGTGTGTGTGTGTGTCTGTCTGCAGAACCACATTCACATGTGGTGAGATAACCCTTTGCAGTATTTTTGGAAAATCTATCCTGGCATTCAAGAGGTGAAACACCGATCTGTCTGCCGACGTATCTATTACCAACACTGCACTCAGCAAGCAACAGGGTCAACGTGGGCAGAGGAGCGACAGAATGAGGAAAAGGAGGAAAAGGAAGGTGGGGGGGAAATAAAATAAAAAAATAAAAACTGGAGCTGCAGTGGGGTGAGGAAATGGAATGAGAAATGTGAGCAATGGGAAAACTGTGGGAGGAGAGGACACCTGGTGAGATTTATAACCTAGTAAATCACTCAAAAGAGAGAATGGACATTTAGCTCAGAGACAAAAGGGATGGAAACCAAAAAGAGGAGAAAAAAAAGTCTCCAAGAACAGATGACCAGGAAAGTAAAAAGAAAAAATCAAGAAGGGTGTACAGAAAAAAATCTGAAAAATAAAATTATAGGCAGAGGGGCATGGTAAAAAGGAAAAAAAAAACAATTCAAATTGTATTCAGTAAACTCCACTCAAATCTACACCAGTCTGACTCTGTGTGTGGTTTAACAGCAGCCAGTGACTATCACAGACAAGCAGGCACTGACAGAACACTCCACTGGCTGAACATAAGGTGAAACAGCAAACACACAACACGCCATTGGTTAGTTATCACAAATATGCTTTGGGCTGCACGTGCACATTATGTGTGTAAGTGTCTGTGCGCCCGTGTGTGTGCATGTGTGCCCAAAGCAACTAGGCCAGTGGCTACAATTACAGTGACGGATGTGAAAGAATTGGGTCGGCTCCACAAGAGATCTGCCCCTGGGACAACAAGACCAGCCAGAGTCCTGAATCAATTCAGAAAGTGTGCACACGCACACACACACACACACGAGAAGGAACATGCGCAAGGTTGCAGCTGACGAACCTTCGTAGAAACCAAAGGACAGGGGGGGGTTAATGTGTTAACTGACTTAGACTTCATGTGATACGATTTTTTTTTAAACGTTTTTGACCCAAGGTTCTTCTCTGACTCTCACAACCCAATTTTTCTTTTGTTCATGATATGATTTCATTCAAAAAACTAAATTACGCCTTTATGCGTGATTCCTTTTTTTAAATTTCAACCGAAACGAATTGTCACGCATTTGTATCAATTTTAACCGATTCACGATTTATTTCGCATCTCCCGACTCGACACACACACATCCTTGTAAAACTTCAGGTATGTTTTTCACTCCAAGAGCGTGTTGTTATCTAGTGGTTTACTCTGCGTTCACTTGTCTCTGCTTGTGTGTCATACCTCTGGCAGAGAGCTTCTTGGTGTTGATTATTTTGGCAGCATACTCCTGTCCAGAGGAGATCTTCACGCACCTCCTGACCACAGAAAATGCCCCCCTGGAATGAAAACACACAGACAAAGCAAAAAGATTACCTCATCAAAGATAAAGCTTCAGCATTTCATCTGATAGACAGTCGGAAAGATGTTCCATCATCTTGTCATAACAGACATGACAAGAAGGAGCCTGAGAAAAATGTCTGTGGTATTTTCCTTCATTTGTGCTGCTATAGAAATTGTTTTGGATTCACATACCCTCACATATTCCTACCATACATCTTTATATATAGCCCCATGAAAACCACATGATTCCCCCACATTCACCAGGGGCATTTTGGGGTCATTGTGTCGCCCAAGGACACTTCTAAGGCCAGACTGGAGGAGCCGACCTTCTGGTTAGAAGGCGACCCACTTAACCTCTTAAGCCACAGCTGCTCCCAAACTATGCAAGTGTCAAATTCTGACATGATTGCCATGTTATATAGATAGTTAGATACACTGCCCCTAAAGTTCTACTACAGGGGGCTTCTGGGCTTTTTTTTCTTTATCCAATAACAATAAACACTATTGTTTTAGTGGGGCACGTCGGCCTAACATTTGTCTTTGTGTTTGATTTTTGGTTTGAATTCTGTTTTAGTCACATTTCATACACAGACTCCAAAAAGAGTCAGTATAAGGATAGTAATCCTATTGCGGACATAAACCTGATGTGATCCACACCCACATCACTACATAATACCACTCACTACATTGTTCTACACACTATGGATTTCAAAACTAGGTCAGCTATTTGAAGAAGTTGGAAAAACATAGTGCTGCGTCTCTCACCTCTAAACACAACCATGGAGTTGTCGCCTCCATTCTCCTCACTCCTGCTGCCTCACAGACCTCGTTTTGCTATTCAACCATTGTCTTTAAATGCTTTGAAAAGCACATCTCACATGAACAGCGACGTCTCCAAAGAGTCCAGAAGACATTGGTCATATCACAGCCCCTTCAAAGCTCTTAGAAAGAGAGAGCAGAGAATACCCATCACCTGACATGAACCCTGTCCTATTGTTCTGATCCTGCCTTTTTCCTGCTCCTCATTATCTTGACAGCATTAGACGGGTGTTTTTGCCCAAAGCTTTGAAGCAGGGAGTAGAATAAATATGAAGTTTGGACTGCTTTGGTCCATGTCTTCTACATGCTATGCACATAGCAATGTCCAACATGGACACATTATCTAACGTCCTTTGGAGTGAGCAGCTTTCCACTACAGCTTACCTCTAATTTATAGGGGATTTGTTGAAGGAAAAGATCACAGCCAACATGTTACGTAAGATTTTCGCTTGACTATCCTGCACAGTTTGCAGCATGGCTCTGTGAAATGCATTCAATATTATTGATGCTAACCATTTTATTAAGTTATATAAGCCAGATTAAGATGGTCTGGGTATTTCACATTGAAGTGTATTTCCATACAGAGCCAACATTCACTGACATACACTGAATATCTGATTATGCAGCTTCGCAGAGATTAAAATATCTTTGCTGGGGAAAGGTTAAGTATGACTGAACAGAATCCATAATTAAATGCCTGCTTTAAAATATTATAATTTATGTAAACATACTGTCTTTTGTGTGAGGTATTTTATCAAGTTCTCTGTGTAATACTTCTTAAAAATTTCAGGTCAGTTATGTTTTTTTGGTGACACAGTACTTCTCTACATAGGCAAAAAATCTTTAAAAAAGACACACTTTAGGACAAGCCAATTAAATACTCTCTCTTTGTGCAGGATTTGAGTATTTTCTAGTACAAGTATGGGAGCTGACGAAGTACAAAAATATTTTGGATTATGACAGGTAGAGTTGTTATCAAAAATCAGTATTATCCAGCCAGTTTTATCTGACCTTTCACAATTAGAAATATAACTGGGAAATTCACAGCCACCTTGCTGCACTGACAGAAAAAAATGGGACAGCTGTTCCTTTTTATAACTAGTCAGGCGTCCTTCATACACAAATACATGGCATTTACCTGCGGTGCAGATAAAAGTTGACTAAACTCCAACCTTGTTCACAAAGACTGAACCTTGACTTAAGTGAAGCCTCCTTTTAAACTGAATAATTACAATAAAACTGTGACAGTTTAAATGATATTAATGTTGGAATGTCACAGATGTTGTTAAGTTTAACAGTGAAACAAAAATATCAGATTTGTCCTATCACATCATGAAAGAGGCTGAAAATGTTGAGATACACTTGTATCATAGTCATGACATGCTGGTACTATCAGTCGCATCTGTTCGGTTGTTGTGTTGCCTGCAGGAGGGTGTGTTGGGGCAACATTGCATTGGAGTTGCAACAGTGAGAGTCATCAGGTAAATGCAGGGTTGGATGATACAAAACCGGATGCTGAGGATGGAGAGGGGTTTCCTCACTTCACTCTAGAATCACAGACTTCCATCAGGGGCATGATGTCAAATCAATACCTCCATTTAGAATGCTAAGTGGTGAGACAATCCTACCACCTATTTCTCTCTTAATCCCCCTCCCTGTCTCTCATCTGGAACTGTGTGCAAACTGTAGGTCATGTGCTGTTGGACTACACGGTGCTATACATGCACACATGGACATTAAGGCAGGTACCCGGATTGAGTGACAAACACACACACATAAACTCACACACTGTCAGGGCTGAGGAATTCCCTGCCTGTGTCTGATAATTGATCGCAACTCGGTGATTGGCTGGAGAATGTGTCATCGCCGACGAGGCCTACATGCTGTCGCATTACTGTGTGTATTTCTGTCACGCTGGGGGAGAGGTTTTGGAGTGAGGAGGGGTGGGGGTGGAGGTGGGGGTGGGGTAAGGAAAGAGGAGTTTGATTACCAAATTCACACCACCTTTCTCTTCTCTGTCTTGGTGCATTTCAGTTTGGCTCAGTGTGCAGCACTGGAGCTCCTCGCCCTCCTGTGGCACAGCCAAAGGCCGAAATGCATCAGTGGCTGCACACACACACACACACATACACACACACACAGGCACAGGCACCGGGTGATGGCGACTGTCGACACTCTTTATTTGACATTTTTTTTGTTGTAGGAATCATTCAACGTAAATAAAGCAACAAATGAAATCCCACATGAAAGACCTGGCCGCTGAGCAGCATTCATGGCCACAGCATGGATGTGCGCACAGGCGCTGACACACAGATGCACAGACTCACAAGGGTCCGGAATCCGTGTCCTTAAACCAAGGCGACTTGTTACATAAGACGTGTCATACAGAGATGGTGATGGTGCCAGATGTTTTAAAAAAAGATGAACGTGTGTGTTCCTTACTTTCCCAGCTCTTCAAACAGTTGATATTCATCGGTGAATCTCGTGCAGATCGTTAACGCCATCCTGAAGCCGTTGCCAAAGCGCAGACGCGGTCAATGTGCTCTCGCAGACCTTATCCTCCACACAGTCGTCAGCACCGCCTGGTTTTCTCCTGGTCCTGCAAGGCAAACGGAGGGATTCATGCACCGCTTAAGCGCATCCACTTGTGCTGTGATGAGATTATTGTCTCCCCCCTTCTTTTGCTGTGGAACAAAATATAGAAGAAGAAAAAAAAAACACCACTGTAGTGTTTGCTTAGGTCTACGCGAAGAGATTTGACGCGCAAAGCTTTTCGGGTTATTTATTTTCGTTACACTCAGCTGCGGCTTGTCAGAGGTCGTGAACGCAGCATTTTGTGCAGGTCAGTGTCTGGTGCGTGTCGGTCCAGCGCTGTGAGGGTTTCCTCTGTGTGTGTGTGAGCGCGTGAATGAGTGTGTGTGTGAGCGTGCACGTCAGACGCCGCACTACCGCACCTACCCCCTGCTGTCAGCTGTGCCCCGCCCCTCTGCCTGCATCTTCACCACGGACAACAATCATGATATAATAATAATAATAATAATAATAATAATAATAATAATAATGGACTAATAACGATTATTATTGTTGTTTTGGTCGATATCACCAGCAGCAACAAGGACAATAGTATAAATAATAATGATAAAAATTAAAGTAAAATATTAATATTTTAAGCATAAATAACTCTGGATCTGATCATAAGCAAAACATTAATCTAATGATGTTGTGTACAGTTTACAATGAAAATAACAATATTTGATTTTGACATCATGTTAAAAAACATAATAAGAATAAAAAACATAATAAAAAACAAACCCAAGACCTAGATCTGCAGAGTGGATGGTACAACGTCCACTCTGCAAAATCTTTCTCCAAGTTTTAGTTGGTTTTCTTCAGTCTTTAGATAAGGTCTTCATTATATATTTACAGTATACTATATAGAATGTGTACCCCTACCTTTACACAGCTTCAGGTCTTGTGTCGCCATTGGCCTCAGTGCCTGAAAAAAAAAGAAAAAAGAAAAAAACATAAATGACCTATTTCACACAGGCAGTAGATACAGAAACATCACCATTATTGGTGAAAAGTACTGAAAACGTAAGAGAAATAATTTCAGTAGATACAGAAACATCACCATTATTGAACTGAAAAGTAAGAGAAATAATTTAAATAAATTTTGACACAAACAAGTACATACACCTATACAGTCATGTACCTATACAGTGGGTCCGGAAGGTTGCAGGTTCGAATCCACCAGCTGCCAAGTTATCACTGAGGTGCTCTGAGCATGGCATCATCCCCACACACTGCTCCTCGCTCAAAAAGCTGCCCACTGTTGGGTTAAATGCAGAGGTTACATTTCGTTGTGTGCAGTGTTGTGTGTCACAATGACAGGAGTTCACTTTCCTTCCTTCAATTGATTTTAAAAAACTACAGAAATTAAAAAAGTCACCACATAATAATAATAATACTCATACATGGCATATTTATATAAAATAACATAAAAATAAGGCACTTCACAGTCACATAAATCCTGGATTACACCAACTACACCTAAACAAATTTTAGAAAATGTTATGTCCACTGCATTTTGAAAAAGAAATAATGCCCGTATAATCAAACTTTTTTAGTCCACTTGGAATAATCTCAAAGTGATAAAAACCACTGTGTACACACGAGAATGGATCGATGTTATGGCCCTGCAGCAACAAACATGGAGCACAAGTAACAGCTTGTAGCGCAGCTCTGTAAAGTTGTCAGTAGTAATGTCAGTCTGAGATGAAACCAGTGCAGAAGTTTCACTGAGTTAATCTTTGCTGAACCCACGAGCTACTGTTTTACTGCGTGACTGCTCACTTCTTGAAATTGTGAAGTGAAAGACATGATCTCAAGATTTCCAGAAGCAGGAATTTATAATAAAAGTATTGCGATGTTTTTCGAAGAACATTTGGCTCAAATATTTAACACACAAGAAGTTGGTAATAACAAAAGCTACCAAAAGAAAGCGAAACCAGGAAGACCAACATATTTTCAACTCCAAATAACATTTTATTGAACAATTGTTGTATCAAAAGTGTAATAAATAGTTATAAATATGTTAAATACAAGAAAGGCCACACAAGCAAATCCTTTTTCACAGACTTCAGAAGCAGACGGCAGTGGTTGTATGTTCAAGACATACTCACACAAACATGAAACAATAAATAGCATGTTTGATACAAACATAGACAGAGTGCATGAATTATGTGATCCAATGTGTCAGAGATATAGCTGACCGAGGTGTCCGAGGATCCAATGTGTCAGAGATATAGCTGACCAAGGTGTCCAAGGTCTCCCTCTCTCTCTCTGTCTTTTTCTGTGTTCAGCGTCTCTTGTTGCTGGTAAAAAAAGAAGATTATTAGTTTACCATATTAAGTTGATTGCGTTGGTTCTGTTTTCACAGTGTCATCATCCAATACTTACTTTGACATCATCATTTGAATCACTTTCTTCACCCAAGGAGCCTCAGGGTTAAGGCAGATTTCTACACCTGACTTTTTGAGAGTAGCACTGCAACACCAAGCAGAAATGCAGAGATCCAGTCAAATGTTGAAGACGAAAAACTTTTCAAAGTGCAAACATCGATACTGCCTGGCTGTCAGGCTTTTGGTTTTGTTTTTTGCTTTTTAATAAGACTTACATGATCTCAGTCTCTTCACAGTGAGAGCTGGCAGGAATTATTTCCACCTTCTCGATTGAACGCCCAAAGAATCTGCTCTCTTTCTGGATACAGCGGCAGTGCATCGCCACTCCAGGGCTTCTCAGGCTCATTCCTGACACAGAAGACAAGCACATTTGGTCACAATATGCACAACGGATTTAAGGTAAAAAGATGAATCTGCTTTTATATTAGAAGGTTGGCTGATCAAATATCCAACTAATCTTACCTTCAGTGATGGCCAGGGAGGCCAGGAGCACCACAATGGCAGAGATGATGATCTTGCAGCCAGCCATTATTTTTTATTTCTTCAAAGTTTTTAAATAAAATATATTTTTTTAAAAATGTCCTTCAAAAGAAGACAGCAAAGTTTCAATCAGAGCGTGAAGTAAAAATTAAGATTCTTTTGTTTTCTAGCTTTCTTGTTTTCTTCCTTCGCTCTGTTCAGCTCCTTTCTCTGTCTGCTGTTTGAATCCACCGCTGCAGACAGCTGCTTTTATACACCTCAACTCCAAATGAGTCACTTCCCAGGCTTCTGTTGCGCAAGATGGGACTGCCAGCACTGGGAATCCACGCTGCGCAGTGATTTGTTAAGCAAACTCACAAGTCAACATGTGTCACTAATACAGTAATACATGAAAATAAGGTGACAAAAGTGGGCAATAAAGTGACTGACAACACAGGAATGAAAACCTGATTTCACCACCGACCTCAGATTAAATATGTAACTAGTAAACGGATTAGCTACTGATTTACAGTTAACACTAGATAAAAGAACGACTGTGCAGTACTTCCTTTATCCTTTCCTGCTTCCTTTACTATTGGAAATCAATGTCACCAAAATTATCAACGGGTTATTATCAGGCATAATAATGTTCTAAATCAACAGACAATGTCATTTCTAAAAATAATCAATTATGATGTCAGCTGCAACAAAAACATTAACATTTGCATGTGTGCAGTGATGGATTGCTTGTTTGTCTTAATATAACTGCACATCAGTGTCACTCAGCTACACTAACACAGTGGTAACATCATAGTCTAGGACATAAAAACATCAGAAGAGTCTGACTTACCAAAGTATGGCCTATATCCGATGAACGTAAACACGGGTGTCTTCCACATATAGCGCCACGTGATGACTTATTCGCTCGGCTTTTTTTAAACTTTTCGAGTTTAAATGCCATACATCAGAACGATGAAACAAGACTTTCTTAATAAATTCATTGGAGATGACGACGTAACTTGACTCTTCGTCAAGATTGTTAGTAAATATTTTTCAATAGACTTTGTTTGCCACATGTTCAAATAATAATCCCATTTGAAGAAAACAAGTACATAAAGTAAAGCAGAAAAAAAACTTTTGATTATTATCACACTTTTCCCATCAACTTATGAAAGGTACAGAGTAACTTCTAATGACAATGATTCTCAGACCAACATAATAAGGAAAGGAAAGTGAACTACTTGTGACGCAGCACACTACTTCACACAACCAAATGTGACCTCTGCTTTTAACCCATCACCAAACTTTTCTATACAGTTATTAAAAGAAAAAAATCCACCGTTATACAGTCACATCTGGGGGGGAAAAAAGTCAAAACTAACTACTATTTATTATTTAATTTACTTATTTTTTTGTTTGTCTTTTTATTTTGTATTATTGCGAGTGAATTCAGTGTTAAACGTTAACACTGAAATTAAAAGTGTTGATAAATTTATTGCCTATTAACGCTGACGCAATATTTAACTAAATAAATTAAAGGTCAAATGTGTTCAAGTAACAATGAGTATGATGAGAAAGTATTGACATCACAGTAACAGGTCTTTGGCAAGGCATGATGACAGCTAATGAAATCATGCACAGACATCTCATTAGTTTCAAGCGGCAAAAACATATGGAAAAGTCATGAGGGTAAAAAGAAAACTTCCACTCAAGTGACACACTGGCAAGCCGCAACAAGCATCTGACCGCAATTAGCGCGTCACAACTCACCAAACAGCCGTACGGAAGTATGGAGTAACATGTGAGAAGGGGGGAGGGGGCACTTTGTGGTTTTGAGACATGACTTATTGCATCATTTGAATTAATGTGTGTATAATATTAAATATTTGATTTACATGATATTCAACTGTATCAATAACCAATTAAAATAATCATTCAAATAAATAAATGCAAACAATGTTTTCAAGTACTTTAAAGAAATGGAGAGAATCAGGAGTTCATTCATTAACATCAACAGTTTTCCGAAACGAACCAGGAGAGAATAAACTCAAATGATGATTCAATCTCCTTTCCTGAAAGCTGTTATCAGTTGGGAAATATCCGGAAAATAGCCAGAAAAGTTGATTCAACTCTGACTGGACAGGTTCATCAATCTAACTGGGCTCATGTCCATGACCCAGATGTTTTCTTTTAAAAACAAAACTAGAATTAGTTGATCTGCACCCTGATTTATAAGTGGTGGATTACATGTTACTTTTATGTAGAAAAACAAACCGAGGAGATAAGGAGGATGATTAAAATCTGTCTATGAGATATCAAGGGGTTTTGGTCATTAATAATATATAACTTTTATATCTAGAGCAGGATAGTTGATACAGACACACACACACACACACGCATGCACACACAAACATGTGCAAGAGGAAACACTCATTGTATCAGAGAGGAAGTATTATGAAATCACGTGGATATTGGGATATTCCCTAACTTCCATTGTTGTAATTAATGATTACAAAATAAATTCTATAGTCCATAATTTCAACTCAAGACATGTAATTGATGGTCAAATGTCAAATTTACACTGGTGTCTTTATATTTAAAATATGTTTATAATTGCAAAAGTGTAATTATTGCTATGCACTTGATACACAGGGAATGATATATATAACGCATATGTGTGTGTATATGTATATAGATATAAAAATATATACACACACACATATATATATATATATGAGCAAAGTCTGCTGTGTCTTTAATAAGATTCAGCCTCACAGAACTAATTAAATCACATGATTTACATTCTAGGTGTTGGCATTTGAACCCTGATCCTGACAATACACTGAGATAAAACACTGGGAAAGCCTGAAGTGAATCACTGCTGTGTCACCACACAGTTTTCCTTAATGCTTTGACAGTAATGCTTGAGTAGAGGGGACAGAGTATAAACACATTCCATGTTTGCAAACAATGAGTTTCACTCCAGACTCTTTTGAGTGCGTTAACAATACACACAAGACAAACTACAACAGTCAGGAGCTACCAGAAGCTGAAGGTTTCTGGAAATGCTGGGGAGTTTTTTGTTGAACAATACAAACACATAGATCCAAAGGGTATCTATGAAATAGCATTCCTGGTGTTTGGAATAGCATTTTATTCTCATGCCAGGACAAGCTCACAGGCTGAAAAAAAGAAAAACTCAAGCCTGAGAAACAGCTTTAGAACACATGGACATTTCTGTCATACAACCAACAACTACAAAAACAATTTCCAAAAAAGATCCACTTCCAAAAACGCAGTTGATGTCTGCTTCACACTCCAAAACAGAAAAGACTAAAAATGTTAAACAACAACACTTGGAGTGTCCTAAAACAACAATTGGACTAGTAACCGGTTGGGATATTAGTACTGGGTATAAATAAAAATAGCCAACACATTCTCATTTATAGTGAACATGGATGGGTCATGGCTCCTCAGTTTTGTTCACCTTTTGGTATATTCACTGAAATCACTGTGTTCAGCACACAATTTTCTAAATATATATATATAATATATATATATATTATATATATATTATATGTATATCCTTGATGACAACTCTTCACACAGGAAATCTACAGATTTTTATTTCAAACATTTGAGTTTCGTTCATGTAGAGTCTATGCACATGACTGACTGACCCTAAGCCAATTTGCAGATCAGTCTCCAATTAAAAAATGTCTGGTACATCATGAAGAAAAAAATCATACAAAGATGACCAATTCACTGTATAGAATTTAGGATCAATACAGTTTAATCTAATCTAATCTGATCTAATATCAAGGCTTTTGTAAGAATGGGCAAAAATGTCACTTGCATTTTTCACAATTCCCAGATAAAATGACATTTGATGTGACTCAGTGGTACATTTGCCTCTGTCTCAACCTTCTGCGTTGTGTTGCATTCATTTGTAAATGAGATCATGTTTAATAATTGGAAACAACTTAACAATAAAAACTGCATCAGTTTATCTGCCTGATGTACAGTATCAAAGTCAAAATCAAAAGTTTGTAATTATGTTTGGTGCTCGCATCACCCCCACAATTGTTTTGTTTGTTTGTTTGGTTGTTTTGTTTTGTTGTTTTGTTTTGTTTATTTCTATCCACTCTTATATTTGTGTTTAGTTAATTCGTTGGTAAGGTAGTTTGTGAGTTAGTTAGTTAGTAAGTTTGAGATTTAGTTATTCACTGATCATATAAACTATATGAATTGAGGAAGTATCTTGAATTATTGGAGCAAACCCACAACTGGGGTAAAGAAAATCGAATGAGCGCCCTCGTGTGGTTATCAGTGGTAAGTGAATATACGGTGAACTTTGAAGTCAAAGCCGGGGAAAACAACCCTAAAGGAAGTTGACCTCCAGTCATTTGTTAATCCAGAATGAAGTGACACGAGCAGAAAACAAGCAGAAGCGAAATTTTTCTGTGGTTTTCCAATGTTTCTTAAGGTCACAAAAAGAGGATGTTTTAAACTGCTGAAACATCCAAATAAAATAAATACATGGAATAATAGTGAGGACTTCACATAGCCATAGTCTATGCCTAGTCCCTCACTCCAACCATAACCATTACAAATGTAGCCGTAATTCTCATTCTAACATCAAACTAAATACACATTGTCCTAGTAGGAACCTGAAATTGTCCTGATAGGATTGAACCACTCCCCAATAAAAAGGCATTTTACCAAAAAAAAGTCCCCAAAATTAAAACTACACTTTGACCACACACACACATTTTACATTTTTTAGTGTTGCGGTTACATTTTTCTTTTAATAAAACATTTTTTTTTTAAATTGATCTTAATTAATCCCACACTGGGGAAACATCAGATCTGCTGTAACAGGCCACCCTCGGAGGCACCAAGTATGCAGTTCCTCTGGGAGTCGAACCCAGGACTCTCCGCATGTAAGGCAGATGAGTGAGCAGGTGGGATAACCACTACACAAGAGAAGTAACACCAAACTCGCTTAGCATACTAAAAAAAAAAATTGAAATGAAAAAAAAATTGGTTTAAAAAGGAAACTTGCTTAAGAGCTTGCTTTTTGCAGAAATGTGATGAATAACTTCACCCCTAGTGGTTTGCTGATAGCCTTCCGAGATAAAATTCTTCAGAAAACCTTGCAGGGAGGGAAATGTGAACTGAGGACACCACCTTCAGGAGTTTCATCACAAACTGACACATACTGTGTATAAATACTTAGAAGATCTGTGCTGTACACAGTTTACTGACTGGCACTGATGATCTAAATCTGCAGATATGTCTTTTTCTTCTGCAATCACTGTTGTGGCACTTCTGTATCTGCTGGCCATACCTGAAGGTGAGTGCTGCTTCTCAGCCAGAGCAGTGCAGTCTGTTCTGCTTGGATGGAGTTTATTTTTCTCTGTGGATTGTTGTAATACTGACATATTTTTACCTCTGAACAAAAACCAAACCAAATAGGTTTCAACCTGAGGTTGCCTGGAGTGCCTCTGCGATGCCGTTGTCCCTCCAAGAGTAGAACATATATTGCAGGTGCTATAGGATGGCTAGAGATTAATTGTCCCACCTCATACTGCAGTGACACTGAGTACATGTAAGCCTCTGCATCGATTCTCTGCAGATTCTATGACAACCCATCACTACATGTACTTAATTGTACTTAATTGGCTGATTATTTTGTGTCATTTTGCAGTGCTCACCTAAATTATACTGGAGCAAGAGTTTGTCTGGATCCCAACACTAAATGGTTCAAACAAGTGCTTAAGCAACTACGGTCCATGTGAGTCCTTTTTCACTGGTTACTCCTTGACTTGTTTTGGAATATGTAAATACAGTGCATGATATAATGGAAGCCTTTATATGTGGAACCCCCTGTCATAATGTGCAGTAAGCAAATTAACAATGTGTAATCTCTACTTTATCTGTAGGAACCAGACATGTTGAGGAGTGACTCTCAAAGAACTGGAATCAGACGACCATATTTTGTGTACTGATGGAAGCTACAGATGGACGCATTCATGAATCATTTTCAATCACTTTGTTCAATCTCTAGATGGACGCATTCATGAATCATTTTCACTTTGTTCAATCTCTTCTGTCCGTATGTATATATATATATATATATATCGGTTTGACTCTCACACCTAAATGCCATCAAACCTGTATGATATGACTGTACAAGCTTGAATAAAATTGACACTAATGCAAACTTTCATTTCTGCTGTTGTGACTTTTCTCTAGTAAAATCAATGTGTTATTTGATAAACAATAGATCATTCAACTAATAAAACATTTATAATTAAAGAGAGTACACCACAGGAATTGCACATCTATGTATGTCATTCTCACTCCATCTATCATCTACTTTTCTCCGATTATATTTCAATACCAAATATTAGATATCACTCATGTGTCAAACCATATTCAAATAATTTTATAATGTACACCTCACTAAAATTTCAGTAAGGTCTAATATTGGTGATTGAGGGGATCATTGCTCTCATTTACATGAACAAACTACAGTATATAAAGCCATAAAGTTTATTGGAGTCATTAATGGTCAAAGTTGAATTCAAAGGTTGCGGGCATTGACATAGCAGGAAGCAGGCAGGACCCAAATGCAGTACAGGTGCAGGTAATTTATTTGAAGATTCTAAATTCCAAAAACTAGGACTGAAGCATACACAAAGTCGAGCAGAGCTGAGAACACGAAGAGAGTTGAGCACAGCAACAGACTTGCTCAGGAACAAACTAGAAACAGCTACAACTAAAAACTCGACACAACGCTGGCACGAAGGATACAGCACTCACAAAGATAGACACTGATCCAACTACAATGATCCAACTACACTGATCCAACTACAATGATCCAACTACAATGATCCAACAAGGGCAGAGTGAGGTGAGTGTGATCACACAGATTACCCCACACAGCAGACAGCAGAAAAAAAACAGACATACCTGACAATAACAGAAACCTGGGGGTATTCAAGTCTCCGCAAGTGGGTCACTTTCAGCCAACACTTTGTTGACAAAATATGATAAATAACATATTGAATGCAGTAAAAGAATGTATTGTCAAAATCAATGGTTTGTTTGGAATATGGAATCAAATATGAACTAAACAACAGAATTCAAGAATTTGACTGCTGCAGGGAACTGTCAGAGGGAGACTGTGATTTATATTTCACTGTAAGAGTCATTTCAAAGATGTTTCTGTGGGGGGGAGCAGTGGCAGCTGCAGAGTTCTGCTGATTAGCCATGAACACGTGTCTTGAGTTGTGCTGAGTGTCATTTTTGTTGTGCGTGAACACTAGCCTCTAACTCTGTACCTAACTCTGTGGAGAGGATTTTACCACGTGTGACCTAAACTTAGATTGCATTTCAAAATGGACATAATTTTATACAGATTTATAGTAGGTACTATAAGCATGTTTTTACAGGACAGGGAATGTTGATGGAGGAATGATGAAGCACACATGAAGACCATTCAAAGGGAGAAGGTGAATGGAGGGAGATGACGTAAGTAGACAGTATTATTGTTCACGCTGACAATATGGGAAACTGAGAATATGGCAAACGTAAACACAATGGTGACGCCTTCCGGTTAACTGCACGTCACGACATGTGGGAGTGGGAAATTATCGAGACTGCATGCATTATTTAGAATAATACACCAGAGGGCAGCACAGGGCGTTGGAAGAGATTATTAAAGGGCAAAGAGAATATACACAAGCCTGAACTGCCTGCATGGACGATGCTCTTGTTTTTAAAAGGTTGGTTTTTGATATTAAATGTTTGTTAATGCAGGGGGAATTGTCTGGTGCCACACTATGTCTGAAAAAATGTTTGTTGCGAAGCTGTGACTGAAATACTATAGATGAATAATTACGTATGTGAATTATTTATGTGAAATAAATCCTAATTTAAGTAAATACTGAACCACTTGATGTCAGAATGTTCAATACTGAAACCATAGCACATCGAGTTTACAATGACAGCGCCCCCTACCGTAACAGAGTCGGTCGGACAGCTCAGGCTCCCTGGTCGTTCCGCCGAGTGTTGCCGTAAACTGGAGGCGACCGTCTCAACTCCATTGGAACATCACATCTGCAGCAGTCATCATGGCTCGTCTTCAACTCCTGAGGAGGCAGCGAGGAGGAAAAGTCGCTGTAGTCACGGAAAGACAAATTAGCAGCATGTGTTGATCCATCAAATCGCTGCAACAAGGCGGTAGGAGGTGAGAAGATTCTCGGTGTTTGCGTTGCTTTTCGTTTTTTCCCCCCGTGCGTTGTTGTGGCTAACGTTAGTTACGCAGGGTTTTTCGATAATCACGGTGAACGCGCTGCGCCGTATTACCATTTTATCTAACTTTCAACCACATCACTGTAGGTTAATTTGGCCTCAACGGCAGTAACATCCTATAATTACGACGTCATTTCATCCGTGTGTGTTGTTACCCTTAGTTACGACCCCGGTCGTGTTGGCGTGTGTCATTTATGGTAAAGTTACAGAATAGATGTTGATGTTATTGTTATGCAACGACAGCCCCTTCCTGTGTCCTCGCTCTCTCTCACTCACTTATAGTCATACACACGCTTTTGTCTCTATTATCTCTGTGACTCCTAAAACGAGTGCTGACTAGTGTGGGCCAAATACTAAGTTAATTTATTAACTTATCACGGTAATTAAAAGAAGGTCAGTGTTTCGTGCAGTGAACAGCCACATCAGAATCTCTGTTGTGTGTTTACACAGCTCATGGTAAGTGTATTTGTTTTTCTCTACAAACGGAAAACAGCCAGTGTTAATTTACATAAGGATTTACAGTATACTTTAAACCTAGCATTTTTGCTGATAATAGTCTTTATTCAGTTGCTCCACGTTTGTTATTGTACAAAACAAACTCTGCCCTCTCGTGATTCCCAGTTGCAGTGCACTGAGATGTCCCCACAACATCCTTTACTGACATGTAATATCTAATAATATCTAGTAATATAATGTATGTGACTGTGTGATGATGATGTTTAGGCTACATGTCTGTGGCCCAACTAGAATTTACTATCACTGGGCAGGCCACAACATGCAGATTAGGGATTATGTTAATTAGATGTCCTGTAGTGTCTGTGGGTGTTCATTTAAATGTGGGGGTCCAGTCAGATCCCCTGGGACCCTCAGGACAAAGAAAAAAGATATGTATAACATATAAATTATGTCAGGATTTTGACTCATCTGATCAAATTACATGATTTCAGAATGCACATTCCCGAGGTGACTGGTTCCTGACATTTTTTGCACCACAGCACATATTTTTACATTAGAAACATTAGTAAAATATAATGTTCTTGTAGTTTCAAGTTTACTCACAGTTTACTTACCTACTCAGTGTGAAACCTGGGCCTGTTTGGATGAACACAGTGCCAGTATATCTGGAGGAATTGAAGAAAGACAACAAGTAGTTCTGTCACTGTTGCAAAGACAAATAACGTGGAGTAAATAAATAATAGTTTTCAGACCAATAAAGTGAGAATTCCTTCTTTCTGAAGTTCTATGGATTTTTTTAGGTTGAAACTTGATCAGACTTGTAACACAGCTTATCACTTTATGTAGATAAAATGCTCAAATGTAGCAGAAATGCATTTTTACATGTATTATAAATTAAAATCAGGAAACTTTTGCAATTAAAAAATTATGAATTAAAGATTAAAGATAACTAACTATAAGGACATTTTGGTTCAAACTTTGTATAAATATAAGACAGACAGAAAGATTAAAACACAATGATCTCATAACAAGCTGCTGTGTTACCTGTGTGTTTCCAGGTGTGCCTCCCATCACGCTGCTCCCCAGCCGGTGTCTCTGCTGCTGCCATGGAGGTGGGCAGCCTCCCCGTGGAGCTGTGGAGGGTTATCTTAGCCTACCTCCCTCTTCCTGACCTTGGCCGCTGCTGTCAGGTGTGTCGTGCATGGAGGGAGCTCATCCTGTCTCTGGACAACACCCGCTGGAGACAGCTGTGTCTGGGCTGCCCCGAGTGTCGTCACCCCAATTGGCCCAGTCAGCCCAATCTGGAACCACCATCCTGGAGGGAGGCCCTAAAGCAGCATGCTCTGGCGTCCCGCACCTGGGCTCAGAACGGTCCAGAGCACCAATCGTCTGCATGCCTCCTCTTCTTCCGCCGTCGGAAAGACCGCAGGGTTTGGCACGTGGGTCCTGGATGTGAGTTTGAAACCCTGCGTGGGGCTCTTGCTGTTGCAGGGCCATACGACCGAGTGGTTCTACACCCAGGAGTATATGAAGAGCAGGCGGAGATAGCACTAAAGGTTCCTGTGGAATTGGTTGGTCTTGGCCAACTGGGCGAGGTGGCCTTGTTGGTGTGCATGGAGCAGCAATGTCCTACTGCCAGGCTCTGCAATCTGGTGTTCATGCCGCCTTGGTTCTCCACTATTGTTTATAAGGTGAATTGCAATACAGTGTATAAACGGTACAATTATAGTAAGGATTAAATGGCAAAACATTTCTGAAGCTATTTAATTCCAAATATGTTTTTTTAAGATTATTTTCTTGCCTAACAATGAAATTAACATTTATTTTGTTTTTTTTTAGACTTCTTGGGGTCATGTTCAGCTAGATAACTGCAACTTTGAGGGGGCTCAGTTGCAGGTCCGCGGCCCAGGGACCTGCCAGGCTCGTTTTTGCTCCTTCTCACAGGGCAGCTCTGCACACCTGCTGGGTGTTGTTCTGAGTTTACTGGACAGCTGTGACTTCTCAGGCAGTGACACGGCCTCAGTGACTGTGGAAGGTCCTCCGGTGTCAGAGAGGAACTGGGCTTGTAAACACTTGGCAGCCCTGGCCAGGACGTTCCCATTTGGCGGTCTTTCTGAGAATAAAAATAGTTCACCAATTAGCCCTCTGTCTGGCTCCACTGTTGGACCTCAATCTACAGGAAGTTGTGTCAAAAGGGAGCACGTTAACATGGAGGAATGGCAGAGGAGGAACGGAGTAGATGCTTTTTGTCACTGCACTGTGATTGAAGATGGCTTTGGTGACGGAGGCCAAAGTGAGGGAGAGGAGGAAGATGGAGAAAAAAACAACACTAACAACACAATAACAATGGACTACAAAATCTCCTGTGACAATCATGGACTTTCACATTTGCTAAAGCCTCGGGCTGATGGCTCTCTGCCACCGGCCTCCTGCCCAAATCCCTTACCTGTGACTCCAAAACCCCTCACCCTTCAACAGGAACTAGAAAGAGACCCTGATGCTCAGATGCTGTCAGCAGCCACCCTCGGCTGCATCCTCAGACGCTGCCTTTTCAGGGAAGGAAAGGGCGGTGTGCATTTGTCTAATTACGGACAGGCTCGACTGGAGGGCAATGTTTTCCGTGGGCTGAACTACGCCGTCCGCTGCATCCAAAGTTCCACAGTAATTCAAACTACACAAACCTTGTTTACACCTAGGAGTGATGTTTATAATTTCACTTGTACGTATCCTTTGAATTTTTAATTTCCCAGGCCCATTAACAAATACACAGGATGTCTTTTCAGTCATGTATCAAGTTAGAGAGCATCACACATCATGAGTAATTAAGCAGCATAGAGAGCATCACACATCATGAGTAATTGAGCAGCAGCTTCCATTTCAAACCGTTACTTAAGCTCCTTCTTTGTATGTCACCTACTACAGATAGTGATGCTGAGAAACGAGGTATGTGAGTGCCGGGCGTCAGGTGTGTTCCTGCGACTCTCTGCCCAGGGCCTCATCGCAGAAAACAACATCCATTCAAATGGAGAGGCAGGACTGGACATCCGGAAAGGAGCAAATCCCATAATTCTGGTAAAAAAAAAAAAAAAATCAGACAGCATCCCAGAGGTTCTTTGAGCTTTTTCTAGACTTGGCTGCATATGTTTTTTATGTTAAAAGGTTCAGACAGTCAGACAGAAAAACACATGACTTTTTTTTTTTTTTTAAAAAAGCCATCTAAAAAAAAAACATCTCTCTTTCTGTATTCATTCTACAGTGCAACAAAATACACAGTGGTTTGCGTTCAGGGATTGTTGTCCTTGGCAAGGGAAAAGGTTCAATTCGGAGCAATCAGATCTACAACAACAAAGAAGCGGGCGTGTACATTTTGTTCAGTGGGAATCCTGTGGTCAGGTATGTGTCCCAACACAAATGTGTCAATTCTCTGGGAAGGAAAAAAATAAAATGAAATTACAAAATAAAATTGATCAGCTTTTTGTTCTGTCTTATCAATGTTTTTTTAAATTGACGTATAGAAGTCAAACTGTACAGCAGACATTAGAATTTAAAACTTTGAATACTGGCAAATAGTCCTTTGTTTGGATGTGCCACTTGTTTACTACTGATGTTTGCTTGTGTTTTAATGTTATTTTTGTTTTTTATGGGTCTTAGTGGGAATTACATCTTCCAAGGCCAGGCAGCTGGAATTGCAGTAAATGAGAATGGCAGGGGGATAATAACAGGTATTGAACAGGTTTCCTTTTTGTAATTACGTACTGTTATTCATTATTAGCAATTTACAGAACTTGTGCTCAAACTTTGTTTAATTGCAGAGAATGTCATTAAAGAAAATCAGTGGGGAGGCATAGACATCCGCAGAGGAGGTGACCCCATCTTAAAGAACAACTACATCTGCTATGGCTTCTCTGATGGTGTGGTTGTAGGCGAGAGAGGGCGTGGACTTATCGAGGGGAACCATGTTTACTGTGAGTACTGTCGTCCTTAACAATCACCTTCTGCCTTTGTTGATACATCAACTCGTTCTTTTTCTTTATTCCATTGTCTTTTTTCTATAGGCAATAAAGGCTGCGGTGTGTGGGTGATGTCATCTAGCCTACCACAACTCATGGGTAACTACATTACTCATAACTGCATGTACGGGCTGGCAGTGTTCTGCAGGAAAGACCCAGAGAACATCGAGGCTATGGAGGGAAACTGGCAGGGGCCGGAGGGGCTCGGGGGGGAAGTAGGCAACGGGGAAAGGAGAGGAGTGGAAGAAGAAGGAAGAGAAGCGCAGGAGAACCTGAATGAGGAGGGAGAGTTGTTTGCTTGGGAGAGTGATCTGGACAGTGAGGACGAGCGTCACTCGGCCCGTCGCTCCATCAGCGTGCCACTGGTGGAGGGCAACTGCATGAGCTTCAACGGAAGTAATACAGACATCCATGACTTCTTATGTAAACCCACACACACTGTTCCTTGTATAAGTAACACCTCTCTTTCCTACTTCTCTGCAGCGGTTGGTCTGTATGTCAAAAGCAGCGAGCCCCTGAACGTCTTTGCGAACCTTGTAAATAACAACCACGGCACCGGAATCGCCGTGCTGCAGAGCAGTCAGCTGACCCGGCTGGTCACAAACTGTGTTCTCGAGAACGGTCGAGCTGGCGTCACAGTGGAGAGAGACTGCAGAGTGGAACTTCGTGGGAATGGTATCTATGAAAACAGTGGCCACGGAGTCAGTTTCAGTGGCAGTGGGCAGATCGTGGAGAATGATGTGGTTGGAAACCGTGGTTATGGGATCCAGGTCACGGGCAGTGCTGACATCAAGGTGAGAGGCTACACTGCTGCAAAAGTCTTAGGAAGTATCAATGCAAATTTGGGTTATCCCGATACCATTTTCTTTACAAACCAAACTGAGCATAAGTATTTTCATTTGAGTGCGCGCTGACACAGAGTATGGTCCTGATACTACATTAGGCTGGGGTTGAGTAAATACAGAATGGACTACAAGGCAGAGCTGGAGGAGGAAAGTACACAACACCCACTGACAGCTGCTTGGTGAAAAGCCATTTCCAAGTATTGGGTCACTGAATCAACAGAGTACAAGAATGCAAATGAAGTACTGAGCTTGACAAAGTACTGACTGAAACACAGTCATTATCAAAAACAAATACAGCTTTTAGAGAGGCTTAAAAAACTGGGTGAGAAATGATGCCAATTAGCCATAAATCAGACATGACAACATGACGTTGCTAATAGAGCTAGGTTTGTTCAGTGAACAGTTTACTCAGCACTGACATCCAAACACCCACGAGGAGGGTCCATCTGAATGGACCAAACACTAACTCTGCAGCTGGGACCAACATACAGTCAATGACACTGAGCTCCAACTTCAGCACGAAGAAGAGTGTGATTTTACGACACCCTATTTTAATCTGTTCTATTATAACACTCATGATCTGTGTGTGTTTACACGGATTTTCATCTTTAGGTTTTACGAAATCGAGTCCAACCATCACAAGGCTGTGGTATTGCTGTGAGTGGGCCAGTGAAAGGCATCATCCATGACAACCTCTTGTACCAGGGACATCCCATCAACAAAAAAACACTCCTCCTCCTAGAACCTGGCAATGACAACTGTACGCTGCGAAACAATAATATTCTTAAGCACAACAACAGGTAACTGAAGAAATGTCAATCACATAGTGCCATACAGCTACTTGTGTTTAAAGTTAAGTTATGTGCAGTTTATATGAGTGACTGTATATTTAATGTTTTAAATATAGGAAGATCACTTGAGCTGGTTATTTGAATAGTAGTTCCCATGCCAAAAAGTGTGGACCTGCCCTGCTCTACAACATGAAAAACTGGAAGACAGAAAAAAATAAACACACACACTTTGGACATTTATCGAATTTTTGTGCATCGGGGTGAAAAAAAAACAAAAAAACAAACATACCTTGTATCACAGTAGAACCACTCTGCTTTGGAGTTGTCTAATATTTCCACCCTGCTTCCATCAGATCTCCAGTCAGCCTCGTTGTACTCCGAATTCACTGTTCATGAAGGAACTTTGTGTTCATTATTTAAATTTTTTGACGTAATCAACTGTTACTTGTTTAGTTGCTTTAGCCCTTAAGAAACAGTACAGTCAACAACAAACCTGGAGTAAGTCATAAAAGACTGTTCTCACCTTGATGTCCCCACTCTCACTGCTCCTTTCTAGGTATCCAAAAATAATGTTTTCCTTGTGAGACTTTAATATGAAATTTAATTTTTTTTTTCATCTTGTAGTTGTACGTCCTCTCCTCCGTGGGTCTTGGACAACCCCCCTCCTCGTCCACTGGCCAGCTCCCCCTCTGGCCTCTCCTCTTCCCAGTATCCTTCACGAATCGGAATTTCAATGACAACCAGGATCAGTGCCACCGTGGAGAGTGGGTGTCACAGCGGAAGCATGTTTTGCTCCATCCTATGAATTCTGTAAAGCACTTAGTATGAATATTAACCATGATATCATGGTATGATCCTATACATTTAAATTATGACAATCGTGTGAAATGATGTTCTACTGCCACTATGAGGTTCCACCTCATCTAATGCTGCACTGAGTACAACCATTTAAACAGGTCATCCACTCTCAGTAAGTAAGTGTAAGGTTTTCGTAATTCTGTAAGATGATGTGAAATACTGTGCAGACGGCTGTCGTTCTTTTGGTTTCTATCACAGTGAATCTAAATGACAACATATGTAAGCATCGCCACCATCCTGTATTTTAAAGAACACACACTAAAGCGCTTTAACTGTCAGTTTCTCACACAGTCCTGTGTAGGAAAATGTTATTTTTGTCCGCTTCTGAGACCTGTCTGCTTGGAAAGTTCTAGCAAGAGTCAAAGCAGGAGTCACCGCCTCAAATGCAAAGTAAATCTGTGCCTTGTTTGACTTTTGAATCAGTCAGTGATTGTAGCTAATCCAGTGTGAAGTGTATATGCAAAGAAAAAAAGCCAAAATTTAGCTTCTGCCAGATCAGCAGAGCTGCGCTGTTTCTTGACAAGTCTGTGTTTTTTTGTACCACGTTCTCAGCTTTTTTACTTAGGTGTCAACATGCTGCGCAGCGGTACGACAAAACAGGCTTGTCAACAGCGATCGACCGAAGAGAATTTGTTCAGTGTGCAATATGTGATGTCTTCAAACGTGCCTCTGTTTTATCTGTGTACACTAGATGTTTTCTCATCTAGAATCTGTTTACAGCTCACTTCTCTGCTTTTTGTATTAGCTTTAATTAACAAACATATGTACAACCAAAAAGGTACTCATGTTTTGGTCTACAAGTTTCATTAATAAACACTTTTCTTGGTATTGTATTCAGCGCATTTTTTTGCGTTTCCGTCGCTCTATCATCTGATCGTATTTGACCAGCGGGAGACGAAGTGATGCCATCTTGTGTTCGTCCTGCAGTTCGGTCTCATCGGCCTTTAGTCTGGCCGGTTTTATCACTGTCAACCCCATTGACTTTGCAATTTCAATCATCCTGTAGGGAAGTTAATAACAGAGTTTCAAAAGAGGAACAGGAACTGCTATTTAGTCCACTGTGTAAAACACACAAACACCCACCTGGCCTCAGTGATGCCCAGGTCACGGTGCAGTAGTGTGAGGTCAGCAGTCATGTCTCCCATATGCAGGAGCAGGGCCAAGGAATAAGCAGCTAATTTGACCTTCATTGATGCTGATACAACGCTCAGTACCCTGTTGGATAAAACTAATGAGGTTGTAGTAACAGTAGACACATCACAAATATTCAAAACAACGAATACAGGGAGTTATATAACAAGTTGAATTGTTATTAAAAAGAGCAGTGGTGCAGTGGTAACATCTTCAGCTGCCACTAGAGGGTGAAAGGTGAGAGTGTTGCACGTTCAATAGGTGCTTTATTTTAATAAATCAAAGCATGATCCAACCTGCCATTGCTGAATGTTTCCACAGTGAATGTTCTCAACAGTTTGTTCTGTATGATGCGAGGACAGTCTTCCTACTGCCCCACTGCACGTATAATGAAAACAAAAAAAAAAAAAATCGCAGTTAACCTCGGAAGAACAACATCTCTAGAAACAGTCATGTGTTGAAGATGACCAACGTTTACTCACATTTTCGGGAGACGATTTTCTGCTTTGCCATATGGAACAGCAGGGAAAGGTAATAGGCAGAGCGTGCCAATTTATCCCTGGCTTCATCTGATGATGGTAATTTTTCCAGGTGATTCACAATAGAACTGCATCTGTAATAGTACAACAGATTGTTAGAGCACCAATTGTGCAGTTTTATAAAATGTTTTTTTTCCCCTTACCTTCTTTCTTCTGTCATTTTCTGCAGCTCCTCAGGGGTCAGTGCCGCCATCTTGGAGCCAGCCTGCTCTAAGGCATTAAAATCCTCTGGACATATGACTTTGAAAATTGGTTAAAGATAATAGTCTCACGATCAAATATTATCTTTATTAACACATAGTGGTCGTTCTTTGAATCACACCTTTGTGAGTCATATAGGAAATGAAGGATACGATCATCAAACAAATAGACATTTTCAGGTATGTTTGCACCAGGGTTGCAGGGGGGCAGGTGAGAAGCCAGGTCTTCTTTAGACTCTGTTTCAGCAACCTCTTGTTGTAGAGCTAAAGAAAAAGAAACCATTAAAAGAAACTATCACAGACCTTCACTGAGTAGATCTAGTTTCTGTAGGAATAATAACTGACCTTCAAGACCCTTTTGGTCGATGACAGTGTTGGCTGCTTTAGCCACGGCTTGTTGCAGGATGTCACTGCCAACTTGATTCAGCTTACGGGAGCTCAAAGCTCTCTTCTGTTTAGTTGTGCCAAATGCTTCAATCAGGGAGTCCACCTGCAGGATGAATGTGATGCAAGTGTGAGATGTTATTATCAAGTTTATCCTCGACGATCTTAGAGTTAAAAAGTGACAGTACCTTGTCGCGGTATGTCAGAGGAGCATCCTGGGAACTTGCAGTGTCTGTTTCTCCTGTGGATAAAATAATTTAATTAAACTGAATCGAAATGTTGCTGCAAAAGAATGTATGAGTCTGTAGGTAGGTTATCATCCCAAATATCATATTAGTGTTCAAATCTATTGTGGTCATAAAATCTTGATTATTTAATGGTCAGTAGATTATTTGAAATACAACCACATATTATTACCACAGTTCTTAGATTTATGAGCTAAAAGCATTTCCTTACCTGGTATGACAGGTTGCATGTTGAATACCTGAGCGTTGTGCACCTCCATCTGCATGGTCTCTCTGTTCAAAACTCCAAGGTAATACCTAACACAAGGTGCTTTTTTAGATTGCTTCTCACAGGGTTTAGCTTTTAGTGAAGCATGCAGTTTCCTTTATTTTTTCCATGAGCTTTATAAACACCTTCTTAATCCCAGAGTAAAAGTTGGGCATGTAAGAAAGCATGTAGAAATCCGAACATATATTCAGTAGGACATCTATCTATTTCCAACAAAAGTAATAGTAATTCTTTCTATTGCCAGTGGTACCAGTTTGATTTCTGATTATTATTTTTTTTGAAAGTGCACTCACTTGCAAAGGTTATTACATTTCAGTGACCCTGCTCCGAAATTCATTCCAACATATGACAGTTTTTCTGACTCTGCAACCTAAAAAGAGAACATGAGTAGAGCTGTAATTTACGTACACGAAAAAACTGAAGAATGAAAACACACAGGTAATGGTGTGTGTGAAAGGTATTACAGGAACAGATCACGCAGATGAAATTTCCTCACCATTATTCGCCTGCTCTTCTTCCTGGGATTATTCTCCTCTATACTCTTGTACGTGGTGAAGTCCAGTTTGTCTGCATCTTTGACGTTGCCATTTGAAAACTGGACTGTGAGAGTAAACAGCTACTTAGGGTTGCCACATAAACTATACCGCAGTTTTGCTTCTCTCTCCCACGTGTACAATGCTTATTTGGCGTATTTAAGAGAGAAATACATTGAGACTGGCCAATTACTTCGAAATGTAAACAGCAAGTTTAAAAATAGAAAACAAAATATAATATATTTACCTATTATTGCTTTTTCGGCGTCTTTTTCTTCTTCACTACAAACGAACGAGCAGTAGGAAGCCATGTTTGTTGACATGTGTTTCCAGGCGGAAATAGAGGCGCCGTATTTCCGCTTTTGTCAAAATCAATCCAGAAATACCTGGAATCTATACATTCGCGTAAATGTATACGTCACTTCACCAACACGATGTTATATCGTTATATTGGATTTTGTATGCTAATTTCACATTCAAAATAACGCTAAATCCAGTTTTGTATGCTTTGATGTTGTCAGTTGATTTAGAAAAACCGGAATGCTAGTTTTTTTTTTTTAATCAACTGTCAACAACAAAGTAAAGTAAAATGTAAAATTTGATAATTTGCTCAATATAAAATAATTGAAAAAGAAAATAAAACAGTTATTGTTAGATTCAATTGTGTATTAAACAGCTTTCGTTTTGGTATATTCATTTTTAAGGAAAAAAGATGACAAACATTAACTTTAACATTTTTATTTCGCTCTGTAAAACTAATGTAATGGTTTATTTTAATAAATAGTCTTCTTGTGCAATTGCAGGAAGTTGCGGGAAAGACTCAGCAGCGCCCCCTGTGTCTGTATTACAGAAGATCCTGTCGCTAAGGCGAGGTCACGGGCGGAGGAGAAAGCACAGCGCCACCCGGTGAGTCTGCTTGGGAAAGCAATGTCTGAGTGGGAGTGGGAGGATTTTTTTTAGTAAAAACAAACACATCTAGAATCCCGGCAGGATTCGGGATTATTTCCGTTACCGTCCCGGTTAGTTCACTCTGCACGAGGACAAGGAAAGAAGTGTGTTTTACGGGGTCAAAGTGACTGGACATCGCGGTCAGCAGTCTGCTGTAACCGGACTGGGCAGGAACAGTGGGCAGACTGGGCTGTCCGCGAGAGATGTGATGGCGTAAAGCAGCCGGAAACTGTTATCTGGTTAACATGGAATAATAAAAGGCTGTTTAGTTTTCGAAAACCTAGTGCATTTTACCGTTGCTTTTTTTAACAGCCAGCTCGTGTCACTAGCTAGCTAGCTAGCATTAGCCACACGGTCTCTCTTCTCAGGGCCCGTTTGTGTTTTCAGATATTGATTCAGGGAAAATCAAGGTTTGTTTGTTGTTGTTTTTTTTTTACATTTTTTAATCTATATCACATCACCCTGTACATTATCCTGCCTTCATTAATCTGGATATCGGAGCAGATTATAATGATCTGAATAATGACAGACAGGAAAGACAGCTGTTTGACATAGTTTGTCATCATTCTAGCGCTGACTGTATTAACAGGACGTACTTTGTAGTTGTAACTTGCAGCTCAGAATGTGTCATCGACACTTAATATTTCCATTTAGATGGCATGTCTGTGTGTGTGATGACACTAATTACTGATTATCTTATCCTGTCAAAAATAATTATTAAATCTTGATTTAAGGAACACCGGTAACAACGGCACTGTACATCTCAATAGAAGTAGTGCACAACCTACGATACAAAAATAAGTCAAGAAAAGTCCTTCAGGGTTTGGACTGAAAATATTATTAATGATGATGATGGTGGTGGTTGATTTTTAACCAAAGTGCCAGTACAACATCTAAAGTTAGTGTTGATAAAGTTCTGCCACTGTTTACATTTATTAATATTATTATTTTTAAAATATCTAGGGTTTCTTGGAAAATATATTGTGCATTAGTTTAAAACTCATTCAATTCTGTCCACTAATAATTTTGACTGTCTTCTCACCTTTGCTGTCTTGTGTCCTCAGGATCATGGATTTCCCAGGCCACTTTGAACAGATTTTCCAGCAGTTAAATTACCAGCGAGTCCACGGCCAGCTGTGTGACTGTGTCATTGTGGTGGGGAGTCGGCACTTCAAGGCCCACCGCTCAGTACTCGCGGCATGCAGCACACACTTTAGAGCCCTGTTTACTGTAGCAGAAGGAGATGCGAGCATGAATATGATCCAGCTGGACAGTGAGGTTAGATGAAGTCTGAAGAATAAAAACCAATATAACATTGAAACAATTGAAGCAATGCTTGAAGTGTTTGCAGCAGTCAGACACATGTAACAATACTCAACTCCTGTTGTATGCAGTTTAGTTTGAACTGCTGTTTGTGTGATTACAGGTGGTGACAGCTGAAGCTTTTGCTGCTCTGGTGGACATGATGTACACCTCTACACTGATGCTGGGGGAGAGCAACGTCATGGACATTCTTCTAGCGGCGTCCCACCTACACCTCAACAACGTGGTCAAAGCCTGCAAACACTACCTGACCACACGTACACTGCCAATGTCTCCCTCTTCTGACAGACCAACGCACCACCAACCTCAGCAGGACCAGCAGAGACGCAGGCAGCAACAGCAGCAATTAGCAGATTTAGCTGTAAACCCTGGTCTCGCAGCCAACGCTAACCATGCAGCAAACGCTGCCGAATCGAAGCTGCACCGCTCCTTTCTGCTGCAGCAGCTGGGGCTCAGTCTGGTGAGCTCTGCTTTGGGTGGGATGGAGGAAGATGGGGTGGGAAATATGGTTAGCAACAGAGATGTGGGACAGAGGCCCTCTTTCCCGATCCGACGCTTCCACAAACGCAAACCCTCTCTGGGCCTGAGTTTGACAGACGAGAGACCCAGGCAGAGACAGCGCTCTTCAGCCCCCGAGCTGGGTTTGTTAGGTGAGGGAGGGGTAAATACAGGACAGGAGGAAGATGCACTTTTGTCCCCAGACTCCCACAAGATGGGGGACGAATCAAAATTGGACGCAATCTCTGGTTTAGTAGGGGTTTCCCAAGATGATTCACAGATGCCCAGCCAGTCAGATGGTGGACATTGTGAGGGGGGAGACCTGGGGAGAATGCAGGGTGGTGTAAGCAAAGAAGAAGACATAGATGACCAGGAGCACCAGGACAACAGGTCAGAGGTGAAGATTAAATCTGGGACAGAAGAAGAGGAGATGGAAGAGCAGAAGGTATAAAACACAACTTTTACACTGAAGTGGGTGTAAATCTGCACAGTAGTAAATTAGTAGTATTTGAATATGTTCAATGTCTAAATCATTTTTATTTGTTTGGTTGAAAAGGCAAAACAAAAGACATTGTTGTATAAAATCCTCTGAGCAGATCTGCTAACTCTGTTGTTGTACTGTACTTACTTGATTTTACTCTTTGTTTTCCTCAGGTGATGGTGAAACGAGAGCCACTCAGCTCCCCTGAACCCACAGATGAAATCAGCGATGTGACATCACAGGCCGAGGGCAGTGACCCGGCAGAGCCTGGATGTCAGGAAGAAGAGGAAAAGGTGGAGCTGAGTCCAGAGAGCAGTGACCGCAGCTTCACCTCTGAACCCCAGCCCAGCTCTGACTCTCTGCTACAGCCAAACTCCCAGCTCCTTATCAAGTCCAACATAGGAGGAGGAGTAGGAGCAGCGTTTGGATGCAGCAGTGGATTAAACAGCAAACCTGGTTTTAGTATTTCTAGCTTTCTTAACCCTAAAGATTATGGAAGCAGTGGGCCAGGGGCTGGTGGAGGGGAAGACGATCTCCCAAACACAACCACTGGGGAAGCAGTTGCGCATCACTTTCTGCTAAGACATGAAGCTGCTGGTCCGTCCGGCTGCGCTCCGTCTATTCTGCAGTCAGGTTCACTCAGCAATGAGAGTCGTAGCAGCTTTGGGGACAACTTGCAGCCTGATTCGTTGTTTCTTCATCCCATTCACAACAGCTTGGGAGGCCCAAGAGGAAGTGGAGGAAATGTGAGCGGAGTACGTGGAGGAGTAGATCCCTTCAGTTTGGACTTCCAGCGATCCAATCTAGGGCTTCACTCTTTGGGACGCCCCCCACGTGGCGCAGGAGGAGCTGCCTCTGCCTCTCTGGCCTACCCAGGCTACAGACGTATAGCTCCAAAAATGACTATAGGTGGAGAAGGAGGAGGCGTCGTCGGTGTTAACCAGGATTCTGCCTCTTCCTCCTCGAGTCTGGCAAGTCCTCTGCTTCTCAACGAGAGTGGAGGGTATGAGATGAACAGTGGTAGGCCCACCTCCCTTCCTCCTCAACTCACCAGAGCTTCTGCAGATGTCCTGTCCAAGTGCAAGAAGGCTCTGTCGGAGCACAACGTCCTTGTAGTGGAGGGGGCAAGAAAGTACGCCTGCAAAATCTGCTGCAAAACTTTCCTCACGCTGACTGACTGCAAGAAACACATCCGTGTCCACACGGGAGAAAAACCCTACGCCTGTCTCAAGTGTGGGAAACGTTTCAGCCAGTCGTCCCATTTATACAAGCATTCCAAGACCACCTGTCTGCGCTGGCAAAACAACAATATATCCAATCCTTTGCTGTAGGACTGAGGCAGCTGCAATTAGATGAGAGATTTGGGCTCTTTTTAAAAATTCCTGTATTATTTCAACTCAGTTTGTTCTTTACATTTGCATCACCCTGCTCTCAGATAAAAACCGTTGTTAAAACTTGAATGGGAGAGAAAAAAAAACAAAATTACAAAAGAATCCAGTATTGATCATAGACCAAAGACAGGGATGACGATGTAATCATACATTTTTACTTAAGATGAAATTGATTTTGTCAAACTAATGTAAATACTTACAGCATTTATAAATGTAAGCATTATTTCACTAGTGTACTGACAGATTAGAAGTTCTTTCCTTAAGAATTACTGGGAAAGTATCATGAGATTCTCCATCAGTGTCAAACTATAGACTTGGTTCATCTATGCCTGGCTGTTAAAGCTGCAACACTAATGGAATTTTACTGTTTAAACTCCCTCCCTTGTCCCCCCCATGATGGGCTGGTGACCCGTCCAGTACACGAACGAGGACCAATCCCCTTGTTTTTAAATGATCATGTGATGCTCATACCTTTTTTTTGTTTACACTCAATTAGCTCATAGGTAGCCGTACAACACATATGCTAGGTTAAATATTACATATATAATGTTAAAGAATGCACTCATGTCTCAAACACACTACGTGTCTTAAACATGTAGCATCATACTGCAGAGCATTTGTATTCTCTTCTGCCCTGGTGCACTGGAGTACACCGTCTACATGATATAGGTCTATACTTACAACCACTGTCTGTTTAACATACTTTAGTGTTTTTGTACAAAAGCGTAGAATGAGTCATGCCAAGGTTGGGGTACTAGACTTTCTCATCAGCGGCAGCCCAAAGCATGCAGGAGGAGAAAAGAAGCTAACAGATTGATAATTGGTATCAGCAGATAGTCCAAGTCTCAGTATTGGTATTGGACGTGAAAAGGTTGTATCAACCCATCCCTACTAAAAACACTCTACAACTGTAGGATCCTACCTAAAAAAAACTAATAATATGCAGTGTGCTCTTAGTGTTATGTAATTCATGTAAAATTGCATAGACTCATGAGTGACATGAAACTCAATAAATGACATTAAAAATGTCAAAAGTGTTATTGCGGATACATATAATGTATGACGTTTAATGCCTGAACCGCCCCTTTAATTTATTTTTATAAAGGTTTAATTCAATTCAAAGTAGTTGTACAGTTTCTCTGGGTACTCTGGCTTAAAAACCTGCAGATAAAGTATTAGGTTTACTGCGATGGAGTGGTGAACTGTCCACTCCATTGAATAAGTGCTGGGATTGGATCCAGCTGTTTCCATGACCCCTAATAGGATTAAGAGATAGAGGATGAATGAATGAACATAGTTTTCAATGAATCAGTGACTAATTGTCAAAAACAATACGTGCTTGTAAAGTGGGCCTCTCTGTTTCTGTTCCATTAATACAGGATGTGCTGTACATGGACCTTACGTAGTTTCATAACATGAACGTAGCTTGAAGTGACCATGTACTTGTGTGTGCATATTTGCTGTCATCTAAGGTACGGAAAAGAACGTACGCTGAACCTCACTTGCGTTGAAGTGCAAGGAAGGAACTGTAAATACTGCATATCTGGTGTTGTTAGTTTCATATCATTTCTCTTTCAGAAGAGACAAAAAAAAACTAATGGGACAGTGAAAAAAAAAGAAATACACTGTGCATATGTTTATGACTGTACTTGATTTCAATGCTTCTACATTTTTAGTCTTTTTAGAGCCAGTTTGGTTTGTTACTAATCACTTCAGCAAATAGGCTTTTTGTAACCAGTTTCTGAAGTGCAGAAATCTTACTGAAACATTCTAACTTTGTAAAAGCTGAATTCTAATGGAACTACTCAACCACTTTGACATACAATTAGAAAGTAAAGATTCTAAGCCGGTGGATGTTGGATGGACAAACTTGAATATTACAAATAGTTCAGATGGACTTTGAGCAGAAATTCTAACCCTTACAGCATGGGTGTCAAACTCAAGGCCCGTGGGACACTTTCGATTCATAAACCATCCCCCTATGCGGCCTGTAACTAGATTTCAGTATAATGTAAGAGACTCCCTTGCTGTTAGTTTTTTTTGGCCCTTCAATGAGATGGCAGGGGCAACAGGGGCCCATAGCTCTTATGAGTTTGTGAATAAAGTATCATTTCAAGGTTTTATTGAATAAAACTGAAACGATTGTCCAACTCTAGTACAAAAGTACAAAACAGTTGAGGATTTGTATAATAGTCATAACAATCCTGGATAAAATCCAGAGATGATGATGACAGTCGTCCATTACAGTCTCTACAGTGGCCTGTTAGGAGAAATGCTGCTTCTATTGACGTGCACTGACTTGAATGACAATGCCAAACTTTGTAAAGAGCGTTTATTGATTCACAGAGTCACTGCCTTAACGCCCACTAGCTTGAAAAGCAGGCCTTTTTCTTTTTATGCAAAATCTGAAGGATTTTTCAACGCACACTTAAAGTGTTACCCTGATGTAAGACTAAATGTTGAATGGTGCTCAAGGCAGGAATGTACAGTATGTTCAATTGTTGTATAGACAAAATAAAAATAGGAAATGTATTTTGTTGCTTGTGTATTTACTGAAAAAAGAATGAATTTTATTTCATCTGTTAAATAACAGACCACAGAAAGGAACACTACACTGAATTTATTTTCTTTCAAACTACATAAGTGCAATTACTGCCCTTTAGTTGCCAGTCATCACATTGGAATCACAGGTCACAGCTTGAGCTCCTTGATCATTGGCTCACCTCGCAGACCACGAAGGAGATTATTAGCTGCTAGGGACGACATGGCGTTACGGGTGCTGTAGGAAGCACTGGCAATGTGGGGTAGAATCACTGTTTGTAGATAGAATTACAGAAAAAGACACATGCAATAGGTAAGAATTCAGGACTAGGTCACATTTGACACTTTAGCCATTAGTGAAAAAAGCTTACCGCAGTTTTTCAGTGTGAAAAGTGGATGAGTGGTAGGTAGTGGCTCAGGGACGGTGACGTCTAATCCGGCTCCTGCTATTTGTCCCGTGGACAGAGCCTCATACAGGTCTTCTTGGTTTACTACTCCACCTCTGATACGGCAGAAACAAAGTTCAAGAGCAAATGTGAAATCAGTTTTCAGTCCGTTTCATAATAGATCAGTGGACACATGTCTTACTGTACCTGCTGGTATTGATAAAAATGGCAGTATTTTTCATTTTGGAGAACAGGTTCTTGTTGCAGATCTCTTTTGTTTCTGGTGTGAGAGCGCAGCACACAGACAGGAAATCTGACTGCTCTGCCAGCTCTTCAAAAGACACTAGAACAAAACAAAAGTTTGTACATTTCAGATTTGTATTTCCATATTTAAGTAGTCAAATGATGTAAAACAGCTTCTGTTTGCCTATAGGGTATGGTACGCCGTACCATACTCCGCATTGATCAAACTGGCCAGCTCGGGTCTGGGGACAACGTCTGTGTAAATAAACTTCTTTACTTTGAATGGTGCGAGACGCTCAGCAATGGCAACGCCTGCAAAGACACAGTCATAGAGTAAAGGATGTGTTCGATAGTGGTGTAACATGTTGAGTCTGGTGTGTTGGATATTTTATACTTGCCAATCCTCCCCAGGCCAAGAATACCCACAGTGCTGTTGGCTAGCTCATGTCCACAGAGCCAAAGTGTTCTCCATGTGCCCCATCCACCACTGAAACATGAGAGTGGGTTCATCAGTGTGTACTTCTATGTTGCATATTTAGAACCATTTTAATAATGATTCTATTTTAGACAAGTAGTGCTAAGTAAATACAACAGATACAACCCAAATTTAGTGGTTATGTTGAAGTCGATTAGGTAACAACTCTGTGTGTGTGTGTGTGTGTGTGTGTTTTATATTACGTTTTGGCTTCATGTGTTGCCTCTATGAGTCTCCTGGATGTTGTGAGCAGCAAAGCTACTGTCAGTTCAGCAACAGAGTCTGTCAGAACATCAGGAGTGTATCCTACACGAATCCCTCTGCAGGAAAAAACAAAGACACAGACATTGTTTCGTGTTAGTTTATTATTATGCCCTTTTGCTTGTTTCATCATTCTGACAGTTTAATTTTCAAATGTTGACAATCCCTCACCTTGTCTTCAGTTCCTCCAGAGACAGATGGTCAAAACCCACCGACATGGTGCTAAGGACTTTCAGGTTTGGACCTGCAGTTGTACACAAACATACATGAATTGATTCAAAGTCTGTTCATCGTGTATGTGTGATTGTTCTCAAGATCAAGGTCACTGTGAGTCGCCCGGACCTGCAGTCTCTAACAGTTCTGTATCAATCTTCTCCGTCAGCACACACAGGAGACCGTCAACACCTTTGACCTTCTTGAGCAGCTCCTCCCGAGGCACCGGGACATCATCTGAGTCCCACAGCTCAAACTGGACCCTAGGACAAAAGAAATAATGAGTCAAGATCGATTGTGGTCAAATTTAGTGTCAGGTAAATTTTCTTAGAATCTGTTGTCTGCTGCAACACAGAAATGACCTTTGAGATATTAAAACTCAAAGGTTAAGTTATATTTTATAAGCCCATTGCTACAAAAAAACCCTACTAAATGTGAGATGTTTGCAAAAGAATAACTTTTGAAAAACATGAAAGAGAATTATGTGACTCACTGTCCAGATTCACGCAGGATCCTCAGACCCTCTGGTGGGATCTGCCTTGTGACATACACCCTTGGTAGGGTCGACATGGCTCTCTGTGTGGAAGTTGTTAGGGTTCCATTTAAGTTGGAGAGATTTAGCCGATGAAGCTGACGCAGTATTATGCGATTACACCACATTTCCAGGAGAATAGGTCGGTGGGCAGGCGACAGGATGATGAAGCACTTTGAAGATCAGAGTCTGTTTGTACATGTGCAAGGTTTTGGCTCCAGCTCAGTAGAGGGGAGGTTCCTACGTGTTTCTGACCAATGTGACACGAGGGAGGGTAACTCTGAAGTCTGTAGAGGATAACACCACTAGATATGCTTGTGTGTTACACCAGTACCTGAATGTTGGTCAGAAAGATGTCAATGTTTTACCTACTCTTGACCTTTGTTTCTTTGCTCGGGAGATACAGACACTGTTATGTGTTTTTATGTTGGAGCTCTCCAGCTGGAACTAGTTAATCACTGGTGTAATAAACATAAATAACAAGGGTACATTTCTACATACTGTTTCTAAAATACAGCATGTGTGCAATTTAAAAAAATCACTAACTTTGACCTTAAATTTATTTTAGTAGTAACTTAACTTAACTTAACTTAAAAAATATGTAAAAAGATGTGAGAAGTGGAAAATTTTAATTATATCATAATGAAAAAATGGATGCACACAGTCATAAATAACAATCTGTACAAGACAATGTAAAATAATTGACCTTTGTGGAGATTTTCTTTTGTATTTTGTCTTCAGAGTCATTGAAATGCTCTGGGTTTTTTCTTTAAATGTAAGTGTAAAAAAGGCTTTATTTTAATATCACTTATAAATACTAATTTTGGTCATATTGCAGCAAAAATAGCTTTTACAGAGCAAAAGAATAGCTAGAAATCTCTACGTTATCTTTCATTTGTTGGCTTTTTTTACAGAAACAGGGACGTTCTTACCATCGTGTCCAATCATTTGTAACTACAGTAGTCTGAATTAAATATGTGAAAACTGTAACTTTATCACAAGCACAGAGTCACGTGAACACAGTAACCCGGAAGTAGTCGCTGTTTTCAACTAGTCACAGCCATTCATTCGCTGGAGCTTGTCGTGCGCACTGACAGGTGGCTTCCTATTCTATTATTTTCAACATTACTTACGGTTTTTCTCCTTTACACTTATATTATATTGTTTCAGACAAGCTTCAAATACAGGGAGTTTTATGTATGCCAGACCACGTGACATAACTTTTAAAGACCTAATGACAAGTGTCTTCACCGGCACCAGTGACAGGGCTAGCTAGCAGTAGCAGCTAATGATTTCTCAGCAGATTCATAAAACAGCCAGGTTTCTGTGTTAGAATGATGCTAACAGCTAAAGCGTGGCTGTTTCCAGTTGTGACTGTTGTACTATAAGACAGTCTCTTCATTCTGGTGGTTGTAAGTTTAACATTGCCCAGTGGAGGTACACTTACTTAGCAGCTTGGCTAAGTTACGGGAGGGCGTTGGGTTAGATCACTGCCCGAAACACTACCAACGATTTAATGTTATTATCGTAATTACGGCTTGTGATTTGATGACTGAAACAGTTATTATAAATATATCCACCAGACACTTGAATCCTTGTTCTCCCCTCCCAGAATGGCTGCAGACACGATGGAGATAGATGACTCTTTGTACAGGCAAGTCTTCCGTTTGTGTTATCTCATTAAATGGCTTGATATGTCATATTAAATGTTGTGAAGATAAATAATTTACAATGATGACCTATAGAGACCTACCAGGTGGGACACACGCAGACAAAAATATCTGTAGATTTGAACGAAAAACTCATGTCCTTAATTGTAATCTGCAGCAGACCAACATGGAACGTGGTACGTCAGTAATTGAATTCATAAAATAAAACTCACTAGTTTTCTGCTGTAATTTCAAGAGAGTTAAGTTAAAACAGAATGTGTTATGTACATCCAGCCGTCCATTCATTTATTTATTCCCTGTCACAGTGTAGTCAATCCAGCAAATATCATGCTAAAGGTACCAGTCCATCCAAGGACACAAAATCTAAATCATCTAAATTACTGCTTCATTGAGGATGGATTATAAAAGGTAGAAGACATGCAGATGTCACTAGTGCATTACATTTTATGAATTTTGTCTTTTTGCCTTGCAGCCGTCAGCGGTATGTGCTGGGAGACAGAGCCATGCACCAGATGGCTCAGTCATCCGTCTTTCTCAGTGGCATGGGTGGACTGGGAGTAGAGATAGGTGATGACCTACAAATGACACTGAATAATACCACATATCGTAGTTTTTAATTTTTTTTTATTTTAATTATTTTTTTTCTTTGTTTCACAGCTAAGAACATTGTCCTTGCTGGTGTGAAGGTATATCTTGTAATTTATTTTCCTCATTAATTGTTTTTGGTTTTTAAAATGGTTTATTCAATATGCTGAAAACCTTACACTCAACAGCCAGCTGTTTGTATTTACAGGCAGTCACGCTTCATGACGTAAAGCAATGTGAGACCTGGGATTTAGGATCGAACTTCTTTATTCGCAAAGAGGATGTGTTGAGTCAGAGAAAAAGGTAATGCACACCTGCTGGCTGTAGACGGTTGTCCATTCACACAGATGTTGTCCTGTCATCGCTGTCTCTCTGCGTTTGTCCATAAATCTCTTCTGTATTCTCAGGGTGGAGGTTGTGTGCCCTCGGGTGGCAGAGCTAAACCCCTACGTTCACGTTGACATGTCTTCCTCTGATCTGCATGACAACACAGATCTCACATTTCTCAGCAGATATCAAGTAAGTGATTTCTTTAAAGAGGTTTTTGTTAGCAATAAATCAAAACTACAAACATTTGGCATGATGTTAGATTATTATTGAGGAGATTAGGAGATGCTAACAACCTCCATTTTTAGTGATCAATTTTACATTTGCTTACGTATTCGTTAACAAAGTGTAGTCCATTGATAAAGAGCATTATGTTAAAATCATATCACATCTACTTGATCCTTTCTCTTCTTCTACAGTGTGTAATTCTAGCTGAAGCCAGATTGAGTCTACAAAAGAGAGTGAATGAGTTCTGCCACTCACAACAACCGCCCATCAGAGTAAGTCTCCAGTTTAGAGCAGGAAATCCTCATCAACAAGTGTTCCAGTGGTTTGTGTTTGTATTACAAAGAACTCTTAATGTCCTGTAGATCATCAACAGATGTGAAGAGCAAAATGTCTTTCCAGTGATTCAAACCTACCAGAATGTATCATAATTTGTGATGGATGTGTTTTTTCTTCAGTTCATTGGTTGTGACTCATATGGCATCTGTATGCGGGTGTTTTGTGATTTTGGGGATGAGTTTGAAGTGTCTGACGCCACAGGAGAAGAGCCCAAGGAGATCTTCATCCAAAATATTACTCAGGTAATGGAACTGTTTGTTTACTCAGTTTTATTAAATTAATTTAATCTAACAGGTTTGTGAGAGATTTAATCTTTGAACATCTACCATTGTTTGGACTTGTGTCTCTTCAGGACAGTCCTGGAGTTGTAACCTGCATGGACAACCAGCCCCATGGCCTACAGACAGGTCAGAGCATCGTCTTCAAAGAGGTTAATGGCATGGAGGAGCTCAACGGCATGGAACGACCAATCACAGGTATCACATCAGCATCTCGAAATGTTGCAGTTACACTTAATATTTACCAGAGCCTAAATCTGTAATATAAGTATATATAAGACGTATTAGAAGCCTAACTGATTTGTAAAACAAATATTGTTTTGAACTGTTTATGGTTGGTGACACTGTGTTTTCCTCTGTGTGCTGTTAGTTCTTTCCCCTCACAGTTTTGCAATAGGAGATACAACACAATTTAATCCATATGCACATGGAGGCTTCTTTGTCCTGGTGAAAACTCCAAAAACCTACAGATTTGTAAGTGACTACATGTGACTACAGGTTCAACTGATGAATGTAAGTCAAACATATTTTTCAGATTTGCTTCATTTGAATATGTATTTCAGGAAACCATGGAGATGCAGTTATGCGATCCTCAGGTTCTGATACCAGACCTTAGTAAGCCTGAGGTAAGATTGGAACAAGTACAAAATATTATATTCCGCTACTTCTGTTCAGCTCTAATTTCCAGCACTCTTAACCTTTTAAACATTCCTTGTTCTCCAAATTCTTAAAAAAAATGATTCCTGTTCCAGGCTCCACTGCAGATCCATGCAGCCATGTTGGCACTGGACGCCTTCCAGGAACAGCACAGTAGACTTCCCAACATCGGGTATATAAAATATGTTTTTACTCCTCCGTCAGTACTGTATGTACTCAGAAGTACAGTGGATAATCAGCATGTCTGGTTTTATTGTGCTCAGATGTTGCCTTTATCCTTGTATCTTGTGTCAATAGGTGTTTACAAGATGCTGATGTTTTACTCAAGCTAGCGGAGGAAGTGAATGCCACTTTAAAGAACAAAGTGAGTTGCTCCTACCTTTGTTAATTACACCTGCCTTTTCTGGAGATGCCCTCACATCTCTTTTCTTCTGTTTTATCTCAGGCTCCAGTTAATGCGGAGTTGGTGCAGTGCCTCTCCAGGACAGCGAGAGGAACACTTCCTCCGTTAGCCGCAGCTGTAGGAGGCCTCGCCAGCCAAGAAGCTCTGAAAGCCATTACAGGGAAATTTGCACCATTACAGCAGTGGGTAGGTAGTTAACACTGAATAAATATAAACATATAGTGTAAATGGTTTGATAATGGATTTGTTTGTTGAGAATGTGTCACTTTTGTGTTTTTAGTTTTACCTTGATGCCACTGAAGTCGTCCGGCCTCTTCAGTCATGTCCTGCAGAGGAGTTTTTACCCAAAGGCGACCGATATGATGGGCTACGAGCTTGCATTGGTGAATCAATGTGTCTTGAACTGCACAAGCTCAGGGTTTTTATGGTAAGACTGTCTGTTCACATTGATAGTAAATTGTTAAAGTGTTTTTACTGTATTTGGGTAATCCAGGCAGTACCTTCTTTGGCAGGTTGGCTGTGGTGCCATTGGCTGTGAGATGCTAAAGAACTTTGCTCTGCTGGGCGTTGGATTGACCAAAAGTTCAGGAGAGGTCAGAGGTTCAATCCTCCTTCATTTTTTCTGTGTTTCTTCAGCGTCAATCTGAATTTACTCATAACTTTTCACTCGCCTATTTTCAGGTGTGCATCACAGACCCAGACCTCATAGAAAAGTCAAACCTCAACAGACAGTTTCTCTTTCGACCACATCATATTCAGGTAAACACGCGGTATTCATTTGAATACATTTGCCTGCATGTGGGGGATTATTCAGAGCTCAGTCAGTGCAACCACACACCTGTACTTTTATCACAGAAATCGAAGAGTTCCACGGCAGCAGAAGCCACACGTGAAATCAATCCAGACCTGTGCGTGGATTCTCATCTCAACAAGGTGTGTCCGGCTACTGAGAACGTCTACAGCGACACGTTCTACTCCCGCCTAAACCTCGTGGTCACTGCACTGGACAACGTGGAGGCCCGTAGATACGTAGACAGGTGGCTGCAAATCACATGATCAGTACATTGCTAATTTTTGTTGAGCTGGGATTGAATCCAGATTTTCAAATCAAATTGTCCCGGAGAACAGTTACATAGATATATATCTGCATTGTATTTAAATTTCAGTCGCTGCGTGTCCAACGGAAAACCTCTCCTCGACTCAGGCACCATGGGGACAAAGGGACACACAGAAGTTATTTTGCCAAATTTGACAGAGTCCTATAACAGTCATGTAAGTGTGTGTTTGACACACCATCAGGTTCTTTCTGGAATTTTCATAGTTCATAAACAACAGTTCTTTTACATCATGTCTTTTTAACTTTTGCAGAGAGATCCACCAGAGGAGGAGATACCTTTCTGCACTCTCAAATCTTTCCCTTCTGTTATAGAGCACACAATCCAGTGGGCGAGAGACAAGGTTGGACTGGAGATCAAACAAATTAGGAAACATTATAGAAAACATATGTTTCAGTGTTTATGTCCTAATTTTTATTATTTTCCCTCGATCTATGTAGTTTGAAAATGCTTTTGCTCACAAGCCTTCAATGTTCAACCTGTTCTGGCAAAATCAATCCTCACCTGAGTTAGTGCTACAGGTTAGTCTTTTCCAACTTTTTGGTCTTCCTCCACTCACAACAGTTTATGTTAAGGAAAACAAAATTATTTTGTGAAACCTTGTTTGTTTGTTCATAGAGAATGCAGGCAGGTGAAAGCCTGGAGGGTTCATTCCAGGCCATTAAACTACTAAGCAGACGACCCAGCAAGTGGGAACAATGCATTGCTGTCGCTCGACTTAAATTTGAAAAATATTTCAAGAGAAAGGTAGGTAAATATACATAATACTAAACATGCATTAAAGAAATAATACATAGGAACGTTAAATTTTTTTCTTTTTTCTGCAGGCCTTACAGCTTTTATACTCGTTTCCTCTGGACACTCAGCTAAAAGATGGCAGTAAGTTCACATGATTCAGCTTTTTGAATATTCTGTACAAATGTGATGTTACTTAAAAAAACCCATACTGACCATATAAATGTGCATAAAGGCAGGATCTATAGTTCAGTTTTTAACTGTTTCCCCTAGGTTTGTTTTGGCAGTCTCCAAAAAGACCTCCAACACCCATTGATTTTGACTTGAAAGATTCTTTGTGAGTGGTTTTCTTTCTTCCCATTATTGTGATTATAGTTGTTATTTTTAGAAAGTTGGTGTTCCTGTGTTCTATTTTGATATCTAACTCACTGAACCCTCCTCTGTTCCCATCAGGCACTTTGATTTCATCGTTAGTACTGCAAGGCTCTTTGCTGAAATATACAACATCCCTTATTCAGAGAAGGTAGGTCATAACAAACACAGAACCTGGGGCCCTCTGGTGGTTTATAAAGTTACACAATATTTGAAAATTATATTAATTTAAACTGGAACTTTTTGCATAAATTATTTTTTCTTTAAGTTGTAATGGTCTTAGTTCCTGGAATGAAATGTTTTGAAAGCCAGTGCTAATAGCTATAAGCTAATGAGCTATTTAGTCCAAAAAGGTATATATGACATACACATACCGTAGTTCATTGAACTTTTTACAATTCAATATGTCAGTGTTTCTGAGTGTATCAGTAAGTGCTTGAAAAAGAGCCAAAATATGTCGTGATGTGTGAACAACAGTGACTTATGTTAAAGATTTGTCAATCAAATTGATGGGCAGTGTGTGCTGAGGAACTGCAGCAGCTAGAATTACACTGCCATCGTGTGGTGAAATGGGAGAACAGCTGAGATACACATTTACTGACAGATCTGTTTTTTATTTCCAGGACATCTCCAGAGAAGCCGTCACCAGAATTCTCTCAGATGTGAAGATTCCTGAATATAGACCATCACAGAAAGTAGGGTTCTTCACTTATGGTTTGACAGGATTCTTACCTTTCAAAGAGGAAAACAAGCCTGTTGATTGTTTTTGATCTCTCATCATAGTATGTGGAGACGGATGAGACGGCTAAGAGGCCTGATCATACCAAGATGCCTCAGAGCAGTGAGGAGGAGAGGGAGGCCTTTTCACAGCTGCAGCAAGCAATCGATGCTAACTGTGTCACACCTGGTATTCAAGAGACCAAAGTTAAATAACACCATCATGTGCTGTGGTAATGACATCACAATGACATCAGTCCTTTCACTTGCCTGTTGTAGGGAATTTACAGATGCACCCACTGCAGTTTGAAAAGGACAATGACAAAAATGGTCACGTGGATTTTGTCACGTCAGCTTCTGCACTTAGAGCAAAGATGTATGGCATCGAGCCTGCTGATAGATTCAAGACCAAACGCATCGCTGGCAAGATCATCCCCGCCATTGCCACGGCAACAGCTGCAGTGGCCGGACTGGTGAGAGACTCAGTCCAAACAATGATCTGAAATGACTTAAGACACTTTATGCTACAGAGGTATGTTAATAACATGCTGTTATACTTTTGTCATTTATTTTGACAAACCCAGGTGGCCCTTGAGCTGATCAAGGTAGTTGGTGGCTACGGCTTTGACATGTTCAAAAACTGCTTCTTTAACCTGGCCATCCCTGTGGTGGTGCTCACTGAGCCTGCACCGGTGAAACGGACTCTCATCAGGTATGAGGGGAAACACTGTTGGTTTCTGTCGCACGTTGTTTCATTAGAATGCTGAGTGACCGTATTTGACAACGTTTTGCAGAGACAACATCTACTTCTCTATCTGGGACTGTTGGACTATTTTTGGCCAAGAAGACTTCACACTGTCCGACATGATAAATGCAGTGAGGGTGAGAAACACTGTTGGTCTAACAGTCAAACAGAGCTATATCTATGTTTATGTATTTCTTACATCAATGCTGTTGCTGCTTCTGGTAACAGGAAAAATATGGAATTGAACCCACAATGGTTGTCCACGGTGTGAAGATGCTGTATGTGCCTGTGATGCCTGGACACTCCAAGAGACTGAAACTGACGCAAGTGTCTTAACTCAAAAGATGGAACCAAGAGAAAAAACATTTCTTCTAACCTTTTTAAAGAAAAAAAAAAGTTAAAACTCTGTCTGTTTCTCTGCAGGATGCAGAAACTGATCAAGCCGTCAGCAGACCGCCGCTATGTGGACCTGACCGTGTCATTCGCTCCAGAGGCAGATGATGACGAGGACCTCCCCGGTCCTCCTGTCAGGTACTACTTCTCCCGCCAAGGAGAGACGCCGTGACACCTTTCCAGATGTCATCCTCAAACCTACTGTGTCCTTACTTCACTTTCATGTAAATTATTGTGCCCCAATAATCCGGGTGGGGATCAAGAGCTTCCCCCATAGGATTCCAACTGACAGGGGCAAAGCTCCTGACCCCTGTGCTTCAAAGAGCAAGAGAAATAAACAGCACTGGACCCAGTTTTTCTAGCCAGTGGAACACATGTCTGCTGGAGTAGCACTTACTCTGTGCCTGTGTACATATGTAATTTCTCTGTTAGGGTTTTCTACTCTGTTTAAACGCACAGCTCTGCCTGTGTCAATGCCTTAAAATAATAAACATCTTTCTGTTTGTGGCAGTAAGTCTGACTAAAAACATTGTTTACAGAAATCTGTCTACTCCCAAAACAGAAACCTCATCTGTGGCCTGTAGGAAATCAAGTTTTGTTTTCAGAGTTCTCTCATATTTTATTACAGAATTATGTTTTGTCCCTAGCTCTCTCAAAATAGGAACGGATTTGTTGAACTATTGCAAGCTACAGTGGCTCAGTTAAAAAATGGCAAAGCCAGTAAAGAAATTGTTACTGATTGTTTTCTTTTTTTTTTAGTAGAAATCCAACAATTTAACAAACACCCCTATTTTTAAGGTTGAAATACATTTCAACCTTAAAAATAGGGGTACGCTTTGCAACACAAACTCTTTCCTAAAGAGGCACCGCTGTTTATGTTAAGCCAATCACTGATAAAAAAAAATAGTAAGAAATTTTTGGTACATTCAGTCACATGTACCTTCAGTTTATTTAACAAACTCCACATCAGTCTATGGAAATATCAGAGCCAACGCTGCAAATAAAATGGATTTTCACGTAATCATTTTACGCAGTGAATGCTCACTACCTGAAAACATTTTTGAATGATGGTGGTTGACATTGTCCTCACATCATGTGTCTGGAATTGTTTCATGTAAAAGCTGTTGACAAAAATAATCATCTCTGAAAATCAGTGAGCTTTCTTTTTGTTCTCATTCACTGATGTGCACAACGTGTGTTGCACTTAACATTATGGACAGACCAAATGCACTGACCTCTACGCTCAAATACAGACATTTGGTAAACTGCTCCTAAATCAAGTAAGGGTATAAGTTAATAAGTTATTATAAACATTTAAGAGCTACATAAACAGAAGAGATTGCACTCTTAGTTTTTCTTTTTTTTTTAAAGACCCCTTGTTATTATTTGCGTTTGTTAACAACTGTGTGATCATGACCTGTATTTGTCTTGTTTCTCATGTACGTGTCAAACGCATGAATGCCAATGTTACTCTGAATAGAATCTTTTATCATGAGATTATTGAGATCCGATTGAAGTCACTTAAAAAGCCCCCGTCCCCTTTCATCCCTACAAATAATTCAAGGTCTGTGCTTGTCAACAGAGGAGGCAGAATTCATTTTGCAGAGAAATTATCCATCATGTTATCAGTGCTTGTGCAGTGAGTGTTTTAAGTGTAAATATAAACAGTGTTAAAGAGATGGAATGATGACGATAAACGTTGCTGTGACAGGGACGCGGCAACCAGTGATCCAATAAATGTGAGATTTCAGGTTGTTGTCAGAACTGAAGCTGCTGTCTTTTTTTCCCCCTTTTCTTCATCAAAGTTCATTATTAATTGAAGTATCACTTGCACCCACTTTAAAATACAATTTTTAATGTATTAGAAATACAGACAAATTCAACCAATCGCATTAGGTTGTGAAATAAATAAATTACAGTTTATCATATGTTTCTCACAAAAATGTAATTTTTACACCAGAGACTTTAATAATAAATACAAAATAAATACTTCATGTTGTAGAGCAGTCATTGCCTTAGGGTTAGATTTCATTTGTCAATAATATTCATTTTAAAAAACAAATCCTCACACATGATATTAGAGATCTGATTACTGATTTAAAAAGTTAGTATTTATAAATGCTACATACTGGGTTACAGGTCCAGGTCCTGCAGGTTCCCCCAGCTGGGTCCCACTTTAACTTTAGCCTTGAGCTTTACATAGAGTTTAACAGCTGACTCCATCTCCCTCTTCACAGTCTGAGCGACCTGACACAGTGTGGCGAGAATGACGGACACAATAATTAATGTAAAGAAAAATGTCTGTTACTACACCAACACCATCTCCTGTTACCAGACTAACTGATAAATGTCAACCCCAAATGTTCATGTACAACCTACAAATTATTTTTGTCATCTGCAAAAAAATTAGTGTTTTAGATTTTTAGGAGACAGCTCATAGTGGGCATGCAATACCTCCAGTTATTGTCTTTTTTTTTTAAGGTTTTTCTTTTTTTAGGAATTTGTTTCCGTACACAATTGCGTTCCAGGGTAATTCGGACTTCCACTCTGTATGACCAGGGTTTGGTTTTATTATGAATAAGACGCTCTAATAAATCTGTTTTTTGACCAATCACTGAAGAACCAACAGAAAGTGAATAAATACCTGTATGAGGTCTTCCTCTGTGGTTTCGTAGATAAGTTCATCATGCAGCTGCAGGACAAAGTAGGCTCCTCTCAGGTGAGACGTCCCAGTTCTGCGCCGCCTACTGGCTGTAAAGTGGATAGCACCAGAGTCAGTGGTCTTTATTTGTACTGTGATTCAAGTGATAACTGTTTCATGTTTTTCGGTGAAGGATGGTGTGTGTGTGTGTGTGTGTGTGTGTGTAGTCACCAGAGTGTGTGTGTTGGTGAGACAACGGAGCAGCAGGATACATTTTTCGCAGTCGCCTCTGGATGTTCACTGTGGCCAGTTTAACAATGTCTGCTGCTGGACACTGGAAAGGGGTGGTTACTTGCCGTCC